AAAATTCGTTTTTGAGAAGGAATGAAAAAATTTCGGCCAAAATTATAAAAAATATAATTAATTCATTATGCAATACAATGATTTACCTATTAATATCCAAGTCAAATTTGGTTCAATAATATGTTATATATTAATATTGAAAGAGGAATTTACCACTACATTACTAATATATATATAATTTAAAATATTTCGTTCTCCTTATAAAAGTTTTGAAAATTCTATTTTGTTGAGGAACGAAGTTGGGCAAAAAATATCAATGAAAATTATAATTAATATAACTAATTCATCATTCAATGTGATGATTAACCAATTAATATCGACGTCACTTTTGTCTCAATAATATGTTATGTATTAAAATTAAGTAAGAATTAACTAGAACATTACTATAAAAAAAAAAATCCAACCCAAAACATTTTGTTCTCCTTATATTTATTCTCTTTTTGGGTGGCAACTACGATGCATAATTAGTTTGTTTATGTTCTACATGGGCTTCCTGTCTGTCTCTGTGTTAAGTGAGAAATATATAGTGAAAGAATTGAAATCTTTGTGAAAGAATGTAGAATGTGTCACTTAGGAAAAGAATTTATACTTGACGGGCTAGGCTTACTTAAAATAGAATGATAAGAATAGTTGCTAACGTAAGCAAATGCCAAGTTTCAACAACCAATCAGGATCGAGATACCCACACTATGTCACCTGCAGGTATCCCATTGCGTTTATTGTAAAAGTTGGTAATTGCAATTATGTATTAATTAATAATTTTCTTTGGAGTTAGACATAGCTAATAACTGGCATCTCCATTCCTATATTGTTGTCCTAATTATTTAAATAAAACAATATAACTAATATTTATCAAAGATTTTCTAATAGCTAACAGGCACTTTTTCTTAAAAGCACGCTGTAATTCTACCATAATTGCCTCTGGTAATTTATAACGGCGTTTGATACCAATTAAATATTACCTCTATTATAAAGGTATGTTTGTATTGTCATCATGCTTGCGTTAGTAACCGTTGCTTCAATAAATATGGTTGCTTGAGCCGCGATGGTTCAGGGGATAGAGAGTTCGCTTTCCAATTCGGTGAACCGGGGTTTGATCCCAGCGATGACTGGTCGATACGAATTCCGCATCCGGCTTGCATCTGCCACAGTGCTGACGTGAAATATCCTCAGTGGTAGACGGATCATGGGTTAGAGTCCCCTTGCCTTCAGGCTAACCGTAGGAGTTTCTCGTGGCCTTCCTCTCCATGTAACGCAAATGCGGGTTAGTTCCACCAAAAAAAAGTCCTTTATGAAGGCAAATTTCTCCCAATACTTGATCCAGGAGTTCCCTTGTCTTCTGGATTGGATTCAAAATTACAAAGCTACGCAGTTGAACATTATTAATCGTAAACCCAAAAATTGGGTCGGCTGTTCAACAACGGTTATAAAAAGGGTTCTATAAAAAAAAATATGGTTGCTTCAATGCAATGTGCATCGATCTAGCATAAATTAAATTCAATGGTAAGGAAAAGGAAAAAAATGAGCTGATACTTCCTTTTTTACCTTTTGAATACAAAAATAGTTTTATTTATGTAAATAAAATTTGTTGTATGAAACCCATAATCCTAACATAGTATCTTACAGATCACAAAGTAATGTAAGCACTTAAAGTGAAACGATTCTGTATGTTTTCTTTTATACGAGCATAAAAGGGCAGTGGAGAAAGAATCGGGCTCCGATTCGGAGAGGACAGGGTTCGATCTACGATTCCGCTAAGACCTACCGAGCACAGGCGATATACGTGATCGTAAAACCTGTAAAATCGAAAGTCCTATGGTCGGTCGCTAAGCAGTACCATGGGTACGGGAATCTGGAGAAAATGTTCTTCCCCTTCAGATCTATGTCTAAATTGATGAAATGGCCACATAAAATTGTGATGACATGTCTTCGGATCATCCTCGGGTATATATTCCAGACCGTCGCCAATAGCCCATAGTGCAAATCCAGTTCGACGTAAATAAAGTACCAACGAGCATAAAAAGGAGGCTAAAAGGTATGAAACTCTTTTCTTGTTAACTACATGCACAATCAGGATTTAGAGATTTGGCGAATAGAGAGTGATGTACCAATTGCATGCGGATCCAGCATTCCCTAATTTCTAATTTGGAGGCACGTGTTCATTCACGCCAACATATTTTTGATGAAAGAAGTTATAGGAGTCAATTTCAACGGTTCAGGGGGTGACCTCAAAAATGCCAATTACTTAGAGCAGACAATATTTTAAGTTAAAAAATCAGGCACAAATATATACTTTCTTTAAATAAACATACTATTTTTTCGACGGATTCTGATTTCTAGTCCCCAAAATATAGGGGATAGCCGCAACATGAGATATGTAGTCCCAATAGTTTGGTCAGGAGAGCGTTCCAAAGTTTGGACGCCTTAATTTTAATTTTACTCTTAGCGCATTCTCGAAAATCAGACACAAAAACGTACTTTCTTTGAATAAACATACCTTTTTTTTTAATTATGGATTTGGGTTTCTGACCCCCAAAATATAGGGGTGGCCGTTATTTGGGAAATACGGTGCCGATAATTGAGGCAGAAGATTGGTTTCAAGTTTGAACCTCTTAATGCTAATTTTACTTTTTGCGTATTTTGCTATATCTCGAAAACTTATAAAAAGCTAATAAAAAATTTTTTTACACAATAAAAAAATTCTTTTTTCCAAAGTTAATTCCATACAAAAAATAACTTTAACTAATTATTCTTTATTAAAATATTTAATAATAGTAAAAAAAAAAAAATTTATCTGTGAGATATACAGTTTTTTTACATAATTTTAAATAATTTAATTTTGTAAATCAAAATCAAATCAAAAGCAAAATCAGTCAAATATTTCCTGAAAAATCGAATTTTAACTGTACGAATTTTTTAAAACTACTAGTTAAAAAGAATTCGTATGTATTTTTCAGGAATTATTTAACTATTCACTCAAATTTTGTGTTTTGTCAATGGGATACCTGCAAGTGACGTAGTGTGGCTGTCTTGATCCTGGTTGGTTGTTTAAATGTGGCATTTGTTTACGCTATCAACTATTCTTTCCATTTTATTTCGAGTAGGCCAATCACGTTAAGTATTACTTCTTTTAAGTGACAGATTTTATTCTCTTTCTCAAAGATTTCAATTCTTTTACTATAGATTTCTAAATTATCAAAAAGACAGGCACGAAAACAAACTAATTATGCATTCAAGTTGCCAAGTAGACAAAACAAAAATATATCTCGATTACAATAAAATACATCAACAAATAATAAATCTATGTTAAGTAAAAGATGTAGAGAGAATTTATATATTTTAATAAATTTGATGTGTGATACAGCACTGTATTTAATTAACTTCATGTTCATTAACAATTTAACTTATGACGTTCTCGTGTCTGATTTCGTAGCTTAAAATATTGTCTGCATTAATCAATTAGTATATTTAAAGTCACCCCTATCATTATTGAATCCTAGAACAAGAAGATCCGATCAATGTATCAAAAGTTATCAGGGATGGTCCGTTTTTCTTTTTTTATTATTTATTTCTATCTTATCATTTATTTATTATTATTAAATTTTTTTTGTTCAATGTACAGTGTAAGCTTTTCACAAAGGAGCATTCTCATTGCCTTTATTTCTTTACTTGCAAAAAAAATCGCATGCGGACTAAAACCTAATTGGCGAGTTTTTTTTATGGTAAATATTTTCTACCAATCTGATTCTAGCAAGGGTTCTCATCACTTTGGGGCACACTCAGTTTTTCTGCCCTCCTGCAATATGATCTCAGATTTAAAAGGGCTTTTCGGAATCATTTTAAGTTTTAAATACGTAAGAACTGAAATTCGTCGTACTTGACATTGCAATATGCATTGCTTAGCTTTGAATAAGATTTTGAAACTTTAATGTTTTTTAAAACATATCTCGATAATTTCATACGATTTGGTTCAAATTTAATGAAAGTATGTTATTATTATAGTTTTCATGACTCTTATTTATTTTCAATCGCATTTATTATTTTTGATTGACTGATTTGTCAGTTTGTTAAAAATATAAGTAATTAAAAAAAACGTAAGCCGCGGCTAGTCAAGGGACGAAGCACTCGCCTCCCATTGAGGTGAGTCCGGTTCGAATCTCAACGATAGCTCATAGATACGAATTCTGCTTTCGTTTTGCACCAACCACTGTGCTGACGTAAAATATTCTTAATGGAGCACAAGTTATGGGTTGAAATCCTTTTGCCGTCGGGCTAACCATATGAGGCTTTCATCTCCATGTAACTCAAAAGTTGGTTATTTCCTTCAAAAAGTCCTCCACGAAGGCTAATTTGTCCCACTGCATGATTCAGGAGTTCCCTTGTATTCTGGGTTGGGTTCAAAGCTCAACGCCGGTTGTAAAATAAAATAACTTTAGAGATGATCCTGTTCAATTTTCAGATAAATCGAATAAAAATTTTGGAAGCTATGGGATGTATATCGTAATTAGCATAAGAAATTGGGAGTACGTATTTCAAGAAGAAAAACACTTCGGTCTGGAGTTTCCTTTCCATAAATTTGGCGCTCCTTTAAATCTGCCTCCGGGGATAAATGTCCCTTCCTGCCCTCCGCTAGCAACGCCACCGCTCAACTACGAATTTAAATAGTTACCATTGTCTAAGAAACTATCCTGTTCTTCGCTGATGATCAGGTATACATTTTTTGAAGATTATAGTCTTTTTGTAGAAACAATAATAATCCAGCAAGACAGTAAGGGGCAAAGGAAGTTAACCCCCTCAGGCGATGCTAACAATATGGCAATTTTCACCCCAGATCTTATCAGGAACAAGTAAAAAATAAAAAAGACCTTTTATATCGGTTTTTAATATGACGTTCACGTTTTGCTTCTGTACAATTATTATTCTTGATTTAAGACCGTTCAGCTAACTACTTGAATTCGGCTCGTCGGGGCGCTGAAGGCGTTAATAATGCTGAATTTAAAAATATGCGTCGTTTATAATAAAGCTCGGAGCTGATTTATTACTCATGTATTAAAGTTTTTGGGTGAACAAAAGTTAAATCTAAATTTTATCAACAGTGTAAAAATGCCAGAATGTTTTGTTTTTCTTAATTTTTTACCTCGAGCCTGTGTTTAGCGTATCGGCAGCAAGAAAGCGTGAAAGTCACGTTAAAATGTTTGTATTAAGTTTTTTCAGAATTTACTTTTGTTTATGTATTCTAAACTCCCATTGAGATTCATAAATTTTGTTCAGAATTTTGATGGATTGGGAAAGCAAAATATGTACTACAATACGGTAAACAAACATAATTATTTTTTCTTTTTTTTCTCTTTTGCAAAAGAAAACTGTTTATTTTGTGCTTATTCGCCAAGCTATGTTTGGCAACACAATGTCAGACTCGGTCTGTGTGGTTTCAAGTAAATGCATTTTCTGTGTAGTGTTAAATAATATATTTAATGAACAGAATTTTAATGAAGTAATTTTGGTATCAGACTGCAAAGAATTTTATGTGGCCGGCATGTCGCAGCAGCAGGCCAAAACTTTTGAAATTTTGGAAAAGTAAAGACGGTCTGAAGAAAAAAAACAGGTCTGGTTATATTGATAGGCACCCTGTCATCACAACTGAAAAGTGCCTGACACACGATATTTCTATTAAATCTATTGAAATTAATGTCACTCTGGTTTTTAATTGTTTGAAAGCTTTTAAATTTAACATTTACGCTAATTTTATTCTATTAATGATTTCTAGTTCTCAAAGCTGTAAGTTTTACGCCTGATAAACATGTATTACAATTGTCAGAATATATTCTTTCTATTATATTAATTGTAGCAGCTGTTATTTTTTTAATATCTCTGTTATTTATAATAGAATAATATGTAATGATCTTAATTTGTTTAAATTGTTATATTAATTCTCCCCAGTTTTAACGCTCTTCGACGTAATAATTCATTGCTCTATAATTTATGAAGTTTTAATTTTGAAAAGAAAAGCTGCTATTCCCTTTCCCATATTTAATATTTCATAAAATATTAGAATATTATAATCCTAAAGTTTTACGATATTATAAACTTTGCAACTCTCTAATTATGTTAAGTTTTTATTTCAAGTTACCTTTGTGTTTCACCATCTGAGTTTTCTAGACTCTAATTAACTGCTATTTTAAAAGATCATTAAGAAATGGGGTGAAGTTGCAATATTATATAGTTATTTGTTCATGAGTGAACTTATCGAAAATGAATTTTAAGCTTTATTCATGTATGTGAATCTTTAGATTGGCTCATGTGTTTTTTTATTTTTCTTCATATTTGAGTACAGTAAAATAAGAAATAATTTTTAAAAATGTATATGGTTTTCCTTTTTTTTTGTATTATAAATATTATGGTCATCAAATTTCTTTTGTTTATTCAAGTATCTTTAGTTTTAGAAAAATGAAGCTTATAATTTTCTAAGTAACATTATTTTATGTATTGTTTTGAAACTTTTTCTTTATTAAATAACTAGATTAGCCTTGATTAAACAGAGTCTTAATTAAGAGGTATTTTTAATTTTTCTTGGTTACTTTTAAAAGTGGATGGTATGATCCAAGTTTTTATTTCAAGTTACCATCTGAGTTTTAATTAACTGCTAAAAGATCCTAAGGAAAAGGGGGTAAAGCTGCAATAACAAAGTTATTTGTTTTATGAGTAAACTTATCAAAAATGAATGTTAGTTTTATTAATATGATGTATGATTAAATCATGTGTTTTTATATTTATTCATATCAGAACATAGTAAAATGTGAAATAATTTTTAAGAACATATATGACTTTCATTTTTTTAAAATTTTTATTATTATTTCTTTTTACTATTTAAATATTTTTAGTTTTAGGAAAAAAGCCCAATAATAAACTTTTTTATTAAATAACTAGATTAGCCTTGGATAAATAGAGTCTGAGTTAAGAGGTATTTTAACTTTTTTTTGGTTAATTTTAAAAATGAATTGTTTTTTATTTTTATTTATAGAGATTAAAAATCAACAAGCTGGTGTGTTTCCAGATTATTGCTAGGCTGTGCAGTGTTTTGCATGCTTTGTGTTATGTTGATAATTAATTTGATAATATTAATGTTAGTTTTACAACTTAACTCATAATAATTAAAAATAAATTTGAAACTATATAAACATATCAAGGAAGATAATGTTAAATGGAGAATCAAAATAATAAAATTGAAATAGGCCTAAATCTGTAATGCTGACAAAACAAAATTTACTGGGATCAAGCAATTGAATAATTATTTTATAAATCATAGTAAATTTCAGTTGATAACTTTGATTTTACTACTGATAACTGTAATGACCTACTATATTGCTGATAACCCTTTTTTGTTACAAGTGGTGATTTTTAAGAATAATTATTTTTTTTTTTAACCAAAATTATAGTAGGTCAGTTATTGTGATAGTTTGTTTTCTTTTGTACTGAAAATACCTCCCATTCATCTTATTCAGAGCTTAGGAAATACCTCAATTTTTTTTATTAATTTTTCAAATTTTTTATTTCACAGCTAGAAATGAACTATTAATCTGTTTAGAGTATGTGAAAATGGATAAAGTTGCATTAATATTTTTCTTGGCCAAATATGTAAGGATGCCTGATAATAAATTCCTAAAGTTCGCAACTATAATTTTGTCACGGCCAAAAATGGCAGAATATACCTATTTTTGTCAATAAATTAGCATTACTGTCTAACACTCAATTGAACAGGTGGCCAGTACAAAATTTTTATTTTAGTGATATTACAGATTATGCATTGGTAACTTTTTGGTTTGTACAGTGTTTAAACTATTTTTTAAATATATAAGCAATTCAATTTTATGATAAAGTAATAAGATAACCATATTTAACTGGCCCCTCTTATTAATGTTTAATTTTATAGTTTTAACCAAATTTTTTTGTCATAAGCCTAGTATAGATAAATTGTTGAATATTAGTATTAGGTTTTTGTCCAATTTATTTTCCGATAGCTCATAATATGTTAGGAAAATAAAGCATTTAATAAATTTTATAGGACTGTTAATTGATTAAAATAAAACAGTTTATAATGCGAAAAATGCTGGATTTCTTCAAGAAAATATTTTTGATGAAGAAGGAAAATAAAGTATTTGAAAGAAAATGAAATACATTTATATTACGACATAAAAATTATGCAAAATAAGTATATAAGTGCTCTGATATTCAATTGTATTTTAATTATTATTAAAAGTAACAAAGTATATAACTGTTAAATAAGTAGTTCAGAAAAATTTTATTTAAATTATTTCAGAGTAATTTTGCCTTACCTATTTATTTATCTATGCAGAGTCAGTGGAAAGTTCATTTGTGTGTGCAGAATCATTGTTCATCAGTTATAAGTTGTTTTTATTATTTTTTATTTTAGAGAGAGCTGCGTCATGCAGGATTCAAAATCAGCAAACTGTGTTAATGGAGCTTTCCACTCTGAAAGAGTTGTCATCTTAGATGCTGGAGCCCAATATGGAAAAGTGAGTTAAATATTCTCAATTTATTGTTGGTTTTTTAAAATGCGTTAAACTCTTTTAAACCATGTGAATTTATTTAAATTTAGGTCATTGACCGCAGGGTTAGAGAATTGGCGGTCGAAACAGAAATTCTTCCCCTAAATACACCTGCTGAAACTCTTCTTTCTCAAGGCTTTAGGTAATTAATGTTTAAATATAATTTTTTGTCATATTTAAACTGATAATGATAAAATTTTTCAAGATAATAGTTTGGGGAAAAATATGTTAAGAAACTATATTAATTTTTTTGCATTTGATTTTTATTTTATTTCTTTTTGATCGCAATGGTGATAGTAAAATGTTATGCTAAGGTTCAAGCCAGTATGGCGACAATTGTTGCCAAATGTTCTATAAATGTCACTAAAATCATATGTGTAGGCAAGTTTGTCGCCTTGAAACATGTGGAATTAACTAAATCGTAACATAAAAAAAAAATTTTTGCATCAAATTTCATCCATTCAACAGTCCCTCATATGATGATAAGTACCAAGTTTTTTCAGTTTCAAGAAGAAATACTTGAAATTGGTTGCTTTAATGAAATGAAAATTCAACCATGAACTCCCATGTAATTATGTAATTCAACCCTGTAATTATAAAATTTGACATCTTTTTCTCACAAGTTTGTCTACTATATTAAGTTTTTGGACAACTAAATGAATACCTAAATTGTCCTATTGAATCATTAAATGTTCATTGCTGGTGTGAACCTTAATTATGATACATAGATTATTTTTAATTATAAAATTAATTATGTTTTACATGATAATTGAAGAAAATATTATATCCATTGTGGACAATGCTTTTTTTAAAATTCCTCTAAACAGATTGTTATTTAAATCATAATATTCTATTGCAACATAATGCAGAATAAGTAAATCAGATAATTTTTGATTTTATTATGGTAAAGCAGCAAGTAATAAAAAAAATAAAAAAAGATATGTTCATTTTCAATTTTAAACTTTTATCCTGTCATATTAAAATTATGGAATGTAATTGAATAAAACAAAATAAATAATATACAAAAATTAGTTTTGGGTGTTTGAAAGGTAAAAAATTTATTTTGGTGACAAATTTATTGATGAAAATTTTTGAAATATGCTTGCATAGTTTAGACTTTCTTTTTGCTGCTAGTTTATATTGAAAATATTCCTCATAAAAATATAATTTGATTTTTTTTTATTTTTTATTAATACTTCTGTTCTGAATGTGTTCTTAGGTTATAATATATTTAAGGTTACTTTTATGTTTCTTATTCCCAAAATTTTATTTTCCCTTGTGGCTTATGATTAAATATAAAAATTTGTCTGGTAAAAAATGGTTTTAATTTTTAAATATTTCTAACAAAAGAAAAAATGAAACGCAGATTTTTATAAACATTATTTTGAGGCTGATTTTTATATGCATATTTTATTTTATAAACATTTACTTTAAAATATGATGTAGAATCACAATTGCATAACATAAATATATAAAATTAAATTGTTATACAAGTTTGTAGAGGGAATTATTTCAATTCTAATTTTATTTTTATTTAACTGCTCTATATAGCTATAAACATATTTCCTTTATTTTTTAATCCCTATTATTCAGAATTTTTTATTTACCTGTTAAATGAATTAGTTTTATTGTGTTTTTGAATCTTTATTAAGATAAACTTGAATTTCAGATTTTATGAACAGAATTCTAATTGCTGAAAATCTGAAACAAATTTTAAAAAATAAAGGAATATGAAGGCACAAAATAAAATTTTTTTAAAGCATAACAAGCTTGAGATTTGTTTAAATATTAGTAATCATGTTTTTTATTTAACTTTTTCATAGGGCTATTATTATATCTGGAGGCCCAAGTTCTGTTAATGCTGCTGAGGCTTCCAGCCATGATCCACAGATATTCACATGTGGTTTACCAATCTTAGGAATATGTTATGGCATGCAGGTAAAATTTTCAATTTATTGCTCAAGTTTCTTTTCTGTTTAAATTTTAAATATTTAATTAAAATGTTTAAAGTTTACTTCTTCTACATTTTATTAATTTGAACAAGATAAAAAAAAACTTCAGTTTTGAATTTTACTCACTGTCGTGGACCAGTCTAACTTTGGAATTGATCGTTGTGAACTTGGTGTAAGATTTGAAGCTGTTAAATCAGAAGTTGTTCCAATTTTAAGATTGATAATTCTTGGCTTAGATCGGTTTTAAAATTGATAACTCTGGTCTTGAATCAGCTTTGAAACTAATTAATTTGGACATGCTTAGCTTTGAACTTAAAGCAACTGAACTTGCCATTTTTTAGCAGAAACAACTAGATTTTTCAAAGCTAATCAGAAAAATCTTGGAACAGAAACAATTTCCAAAACTAAATTATTTTTTTTTTTTTTTTTTTTGTAATGAAATGTTTAGGATTATGAAGTAGGAAAAGAGTATCATTTGTTCTTTTAGTATAAAAGTTTCTTAAAAGTAGCATCCTCTGATAATATGTAACATTTAGACTTCAATGTTACCTGCCTGTAGAAAAATCAACTATGAATCTATGTTTCAAGAACATACTTAGTTGAATATACTTAGAGATTAAAAAGAGATAGGTATATATTAGTCGAATATACTTAGAAGTTAAAATTGATAATTAAATTGATAAAAAGAAATAGTTTCACTTTTTTTTTTAATGAGCCTTGAAATTACAGAAATTATTTGTGCGATTATGAGTCTTATTTATATTTTGAAGGAAAGCTAACCACATATTTGACAATAAAATATATATATTTTTTTACATCAAAGAGAATAAATATGAAAGTTCAGTTCACTGAAAAATTTAAGACATTTTACAAAAAAATTAGTAATTCATACCTTAAATCTAGATGATCAACAAACATTATGGAGGAACTGTCCAAAAGAAAGACTCCAGAGAAGATGGACAATTTGTTATTCAAGTTGACACAACTTCTGCTCTATTTAAGTTAGTACTTTTTATTTTGAAAACTAATTTTATTGTTCTAGTATTTTAAAAATATCTGCATTGTTTTCATTATGTGGCAAACTTTATAACAATTGTGAAACATTTTCAGAGGTTTGGAAAAGGAAGAGTTAGTTTTATTAACTCATGGAGATAGTACGGATAAAGTTGCTGATACCTTTAAAGTGACTGCAAAATCGGGTAACCACATTGCAGGTATGATTATAGTTATCTAAAGATAATTTTTTAAAAAATTATGTTGAATGTAAAACATTTTTATGCACGTAACAAGAATTCCATAATATGCATACTATCTTTTATGAAATGATCTTTGGTTTACTACACTTTATTATCATAACTATCTAAAGTGTTAAAGTAGAAATTTAAGTTTCACAAGAAAATTAGTTTAACACTACTGTTATTTATTTTCTGCTTTTCTTTCTAATTCTAAAAAAAAAAAAAAAATATTAATTAAGTAATGGTTAAAATTGCAAGGACATTTCAGAAATTCAATACAATGGAAAATGATGTTTAATCTTTTTTTCATTTTTGTATTTAAACCAGAAATATATTTATTATTAATGGAAAAAGCCTGTAAGAAAAGAAGAAAAAAAATGCTACAGTTTTAATAATTGTATTGAAAGTTATATTTTTGATTTTCAATTTGTTAAGTTCATTTAATAATACTTGATATAAATAAAGGCATATTTATTTATTATATTTACAGTATTTATTATAAATACAAAAATCTGTAATGAAATATCCCTATCAGCGAAATAACATAGGGCCCTTGGGTTCAATAAGGGTTCAGAGAGTCGTTATTTTTTTATACTGGCCCTGTGTGGAATTTCTGATTCATCCAATAATTTACAGCCACTTTACAAGCAATATAGGCCTATATAGAATTTTCAGATTCACCTGGTATTTGATTTTCATTATCCAGCCAAAATAGGCCCTATATTGTCCCCATAAAGGCTAATATTGGTTCTTTTTAGGACCAATGTTAAAAAATCTAGATATTCCAATATTGATCCCTCTGTGCATGTTCATATAGGACCCCATATTGAACCAATTTATAGCCTAACTGGGGCAAATGTAAAATTATTGCTAGGGATGTGTTTCAGTAATTAATTATTTTATACAATTTTTATCTTGTGAGGACTATTTAAAAGATTTTATGTGGATTAAATAATTAAATTAATGTCAAATAAATGTAATTATATCATCTTTTTCTTTTTTATTTCACATTATTTAAAATTAATGGACATAGTTAAAAAAAAGATAGAAAAATTAAGCCTTGATACAATTTTTGCTTATTCTCATGTAGAATAACCTGATAAATTCAAATAGGGTCCCCATTATTCTTATTACTTACTATTTCTTGAGGACACCACTCTTTGATGAAATTTATAGGCCACGAATTCGATAATCCAATTGATAAGTTTATCCTTTGCCTCTCTACCAAATCAATTTCAAAGTTAATCATTATTAAGAATGAAGTAGAAAAGAAAAATCCCCTTAAATATCTTCCTTGTTATAGTAGTTTCATGTTTTAGAACTTTTCATCTCTATTAAGATGATTTTTTGCAGCTGAAATAACACTTTTCTCTCATCCATATCTAATTCATAACCATAAAATTGTCAAAAAGATAAAATCTGGTGTGATTGTTTGTCGAAAATTATGTTCATATTTGGAATTGGAAGCAATTTTATCTAAAAAGTGGAATGGTGTCAGGGAGGATTGTCTTGCAGAGCAGTATAATTGGTTCATCTTGTAGACTTTTTTTTATTTTTAATATAGCAAGATAAGAGTGAATGCAGTTCTTTTTTCGAAAACAAGGAAGAAAGGAGATAATGCAAACAAAAACCTATGACAAGCAAAATATGAACAAATAAAACTGAACAATAAAAGGAAACACTAAAGCAGTTAAACTAAATAAAAGTTCTCTAGCCTCCCAATAGCAGGAGTAAATAGATTCTTCCTTTAGAGGTAGGCAGGAGGAGAGTTGCCAGTTTGCTGCTGCACAGCGTGAAAGCAGGGTTATTAAAGCCTGTCGTGCATAGTCGTCATTTGAAATGCAGCTACCACATTATGCCTAGGATAATCTGCGAGATTAAGGATGATTTCACTTCAGGGCTTTTCTCCCGATCTTTCTTTAACTTACGTAGATGTAGAACTCTTTTAGCCAAATTGATCCTTGAAGCAACATAGCTATAGCAAATTTTCTTAAAAGATGTTTTTTTTTTTTGTACTGTATGCCTTTTTTTCTGCTAATTTATGCAATAGTTTCTTGGTTACCTGTGCAATCGTTTCTTGTTGTCTAGCGGTGGTGGTAGGGCGGAATCCACTGCAAGACAACGTTTTGTGACGATTCCATAGTAAAGACCTACTTAGTTTTACTAAGACAGAATCAGGAGGTTGTCTGCAATTGGCAAAAAAAAAAAGGGATCACAGATTAAAACGAAAATCTGACCAAAGAGATGGAGTCAAGCATTTAAATGATCTGTTTATTCTTGCTTTGGCAACTTCTCCAAAAAATTCAGATTTTGCAACTTCCAGATGATAGTTGGGGAAAATGTTTTGAATGGATACCAGTACCATTGGCATCTAGTTTATCTTGTAGACTTATTGATTAATTTTAGGTCTAATAAAGGAAATCCTAAAAACGCAAGTCAGTTTACATATATATTAACACTTTAATCTTTTTATTTTTAAATAAAAAATTTAGTGTCAACTTGTATATAGTATTTTTCTACCTAAATGTTAATTTATATTTTGAAATGTTTTCTTTTAGCTATTGCCAATGAAAAGCTCAAGATCTATGGTGTTCAATTTCATCCTGAAGTAGATTTGACCACAAATGGTAAACTAATGATGAAAAACTTCTTGTATAACATTGTTGGTTTGACTGGAAATTTCACTATGCAGTCTCGTGAAACTGAGTGCATTGAATTTATTAGGAAAACTGTTGGAAAAAATAAAGTACTAGTAAGTACCCATTTTGTTTTATTTAACTCCTAATCAATTATAAATTTAATACATATCCACTACCAATGTTAGTTATTTCAATAGAATTTTTGTAAAATGTAATTTTTATTAATATTTTTACTTAACAAAATCAATCAGTTTTCTAAATATTTCTCTATATTGTAAGACCATAAAGTTATTGTTTACATTTGTATAATTTTGTTTTAGATGTTAGTAAGTGGTGGTGTTGACTCAACTGTGTGTGCTGCTTTGCTGAATCGAGCACTGAAAGAAGATCAAGTAATAGCTATTCATATAGATAATGGATTTATGAGAAAGAATGAAAGCATACAAGTAGAGTTGTCCTTAAAAAAATTGGGATTAAAATTGAGAGGTATTTATTTGTCAAATTTATCATTGAAATATTTTTGTTTTATCTAATATTTGGTATTGTTCTTTTTAACAGTTTACCCAAACATAACTAAAAATAATTTTTATCATTTTTAATTTTAATAAATACACTTTAAATATTAAATTTAATTCGTGCTTAACAAGATTATTAAAAAAAAAGTTTTGAATATTAGTGAATACTTATATAGTTGTGCAGTCCAATTTTGTGTTTAAAATAATTGAGGTACTAATTACTAAATATATAAGCAAATAATATGTTTACAAATATGTGGACAGATATTATATAAATTATTCATCACAAACAGCACATTTTCATCACAAATAGCAGAGCAGCGTTCGTGGCCCATGGATTGGAACCACAGCATTATATTATTATTAGGTAATATGTGGAGCTTATAATGTAATTTGACTTCAATTAAATATTCAGAGATGCTGCTCTTCATTTTGGAGTTTCTGATTATGTTGGGATATTTAAGATTAATATAAAGATTTTTCAGTTCATTTTTTAAATCTTTAGCATTTTAGAATAGTGCATTTTTATGTTATAAGATTCTGAACACCATCAATCTTAAAGGGATTTCTAATTGACAATATTATAAATGTAACCTAAATATTCTAATTTTGCAATTTTTAATTTGATTAATTTGCACTTAATTTTTTTTAATAACCTTCTTATATTACACTTAATTTTGATGATATTGACTTTTGGTTACTGGCTTGTACAGGATGGATGTGACCTTGCCAGTAGCTAAACTAACTGCAGTATAGCTCTCTGGAGTAATACCACGCATAAAACATAGTAAGGTTGTAAAGGCCATTACTGAAGTTCGTACGAAAATAAATAAATATCTTATTTTCTGCCTATCTTCTTTTTCTTTAATTAAGAGAAAATGATAAATAATCATCTTATTTTGCACTGTTGAAAGTAAAATTTTTTTTTTTGCATTAAATGTTTGTATAATTATAACTTTCAGGTGGAAAATATTTATTGCATTCAAATTGAATGAAATTATTAGATTGAAAAAGTTAAAAATAAATATGTTTTTCAAAGTTTTTCTTTTTTTTTACTCATTTTTTTAAAATCTTTTTAATTAAACTAATTATTGGATAAATAGTGTAAAACAGATTTTTAAATTTTTCTAAATAAAATTTAAGTTATATTTATATTTTCTTGAGATATGCAATTTTACTTCTTTTTGTTATCCATTGGGTATAATGTTTGTCTTAACCCCTTAACGATCGGTTAATTTTCAAGAAAACGGTGCCTATTTTGCCAAATACACATATTTGATTAGTGCTGACATCTATTTGAAAATAAACTATCTACAATTACCTTAAATATCCTGGTACAGCCACTTGGTGTGTAAAATAAGTAATAAAAATTTTTCCGGGCAAAAGAAATGAATTAGTTTTATTCTTATTGGCACATTACTACTGAATACTCTATCCCGGAAATTTCACGAGATCGAGAAATAGAGGACGAAACCCACCTCGTCAGCAAGAAGCAAGGGGTTAATGAATTTTTTTTTTTTATACTTTGTTGCATCAGATTTTGTTTAAATGTTACATGGTAATGAAATTATGGCTCTAGTGCCCTTAAAATCTCCATTCAATCCAAAGAATATTTTTTTTGTGTTGTTGAATTAACATATTAAATAATAGTTTAGTTTTGTTTTCTTCATTTTATTATAAAACATAATTTAATTTTTCTGATAAAGAGCTTTACTGAAACGTTGATATATATGAATTTATTGAATTTATGTAATAAACAATGAAAATACTCATGAATTGTTAAAAACTAATTTGTTATATTTTTTTTAAACAAAATTCTTTTATTCAACATAAAATAATTTTAAATTTCGATTACCATTTTTTTTTTTCATTTAGTATTGAATGTTTCTGATTTTTTATTTAGTATTGAATGCCTCCCAGAATTTTTACAATGGGTCAACTACTGTGCCAGTAGATAGAAAAGATCCAAATGGAAGAAAGAGAGATACACAATTGCTTTGCATGACTGGAGATCCAGAAGAAAAGCGTAAAATTATTGGTGACACCTTCATGCGGGTAACCATTTGTTTTTATTCTTTCTATTTTTCTCTCCAGAAATTCTATTTATCGAGTATTAAAAAAAAGGAGTTTTGTATTTACGCAAGCCTTTATTTATTATATTTTTAGGTTGCAAATGACATTATATCAGATCTAAATTTGAAACCCGAAGAAACTCTGCTTGGTCAAGGTCAGTACAAATATATTTTATATGTACAGGCTTAAGTATGAACCTTGTTAAAATTTATTTTGTTATTTGAATTTAACACCAATCAAGATTTTTTTCAAAATTAATATTTTTAAGCAAAAAAAAATTGAATTCCGGCATCCATAAAGTACGAGTTGCTGGGCGTTAAACATGTTGGCGCTGGTATTGTGCAAATTTTGTTTAAATCAGATTTTTTTTTAACATTTACCAATCGAATCTCAGAGAAATAAATTAATGTTTAATGTTATTTAAAAACAATATAGTTTGTAATATTCTTAACTAAAAATGGTTAAAATTATTAAATAATTATTAAAACTTAAAGCTGAATAAGTAAAATCATAGTTGTTTTTATTATACAGCAAATTATTTTACATACAGCTAGTGGATAGTTATAATTTGAAAGCTTTATGTGTCGCTTTTATTAACATTTAGTCTTTATTTTTTATTTGTCTTATTTTGGCCGTCAAATAATTTACATACATTACCCCATTAGAAAAATCTTTAAAAATCAGTGAAATCAAAAAAAGAGCAGGTCTAGAGATCAAGATTGTTGTTTACATTTATATTGAAAACACCATCCATTGAAAATGTCTTCAAATTAGTGTTTGATTATTTAAAAAATAAAATAGTTTTAATAAATATATTTATTTTATTATTTTATAACAAAAAAAAACATTTTTAACTATGCCAACTTTGGATGTAGGTGTATAAAGGGCTGGAAGATTCATAAATTTTCATAACTTTGCCAAATATCCATTATAAACAATTATTTAATTATTCTTAGGAACGCTGCGACCCGACCTTATTGAGAGTGCCTCAGCCTTAGCAAGTTGTAATGCTGATGCTATAAAAACCCACCATAATGACACAGACTTAGTGCGAATATTGAGATCTGAAGGTCGAGTAATCGAACCCCTAAAGGATTTCCACAAGGATGAAGTGCGACTTATGGGGAAAGATTTAGGATTACCTGATGAGGTTGTGCAGCGTCATCCTTTCCCTGGTAAGTTTCAGAAAAATTGTTTCATATTCTGTTCAAAAATATTATTTAAAAAAAAAGTGTTTGTTTCATGAAACATAATTTTTTAAAATTTAGGACCGGGTCTTGCTGTGCGTGTGATTTGTGCTGATGAACCTTTCCAAGACAAGAACTTTTCTTTTACTAGTGTACTTGTTAAAGTTATTATTGAATATAAATCCTCCGTAGAAAATGTAAGTTGCGTCACAATCTTAAGTTTTTTTTATATTTTTTATTGTTGGTTTTGTGTATTGGTACAATTTGCATGTTCGCATTTAATAGCTAAATTTTCAGACTAAATAAAAAACAAATAGGGTGCATGTTTTAAATATATTTTTGCTGATAATTTTAAAGCATACTTTAAGGAATACATAGGTATGTCTGTAAAATTGTAGTTAAATCTTAATTTTTAAAGATTTTACATTATTTAATTTTCATTATCTAATGTTGTTAAAACACAGAACTTGCATTTTACAGCAAGTGTTTAAACATTATCTGTATGAAGACTCCTTTTATATGTATATAAAAAGTTTTTTTTTCTCTCTTTAGATCTTCATAAATCAATCTTATAAATCATAACCCTGTGATAATTTGCATGAATATCATAACTTTCTTTTAGTTTAAAACTACTGTAACAAAATAATTTTCCCTTGCAATTATAACTGTTTCTTCATTTTGTCTATATTTGTCTTTCGTATTTTGTTTGTATTTTAGTGGTAAATTTTTTCTTCTTTCTCTTTTATTGCAGAGTCATGGATTTGTTTTTAGAGTTAAAAGTAGCACATCGGAAGAAGAACAGGCATTTTTAACAGCTCTTTCAACCAAATATAAACTCACATCAACTGTCTTACCTATCAAAAGTGTTGGAGTTCAGGTTAGTTTTATTTCTAAGTAGTAGGAAAAAGGAATCGGACATGGAATAAATTTTTATTTCTAAGCAAAAAAACTGTCTAGGAAAGTTAATCACACACTATGGGTCCCAAAAGAGGATATTAATTGAATAATTAAAGATTAAAAAAAAGAATTTAAAAATGCTGCATTGTGTGAAGGAAACTAACACATAAGCATAAGCATTGTTACTAATTTGGAATATTCGAGATCGAGGGGATAAATTTTGATTCTTTCTAAGCAGAACGGTAAAAGCCAGGCATTTGATTTTTTTCATTTTATCTGTTTTTAAAATCATCTGCCCCTGGCTGGTACTGAAATCTTATTTATTATCTGTTTTTGGCAAGTAATTAGATTACAAGAGTTTTTAATCTGTTTTAAGTAAAAAAGTTTTGCATCTAAATTGTTTTCTCAAAATCAATAATGAACCAAGAATGTATATTTTTCTAACTTTTTTTTTAATGATTACTTTATTCTGTTTTATAGGGTGATCAACGTACGTATAGTTATGTTGTCGGTTTATCAACAAATGATGAAATTCAGGACTGGGAAGATATGATGACTCTAGCAAAAATTATTCCTCGTGTTTGTCATAGTGTAAATAGGTAAGTTTATTATGTAAACAATTTTGATTAATTACGAAATAAACATTCGATTGTGCTGTACTTAATTTTAATTTAGATATTTTAATCATATTTTTACAATTATCTTATTTTAATGATTTTTTTTTAATAAATATATATTTAAACAATGAAAAACATTTACTTAAGGCATTTGTTTAGATATTTTATTTTCATATTAGTTGACATTCATCTTTACTCTCATAGCTAAAAAATTTTTTTTGTTGAATACATATTTCAGTGACCTTCAATTTGATAAAATATTTTCCATCATCAAAATTTTTTTTTCTTCATTTCTGAAAAATTTAAAATGCTTTTTGATATCAATTTCTTAAAAATTCTTGAACAATTTTATGAAACCCAAATAGGCAACAATTCTTAAAAAGTGATAAGAATAATTTCTTGTAACTCCAATAAGAAACAGATTACCATGACTGAAGAAAATATCCTTTAATTATCCATTGATAAAGAAGTAAAAATGCAATATAAGTGTATAGGTAAAAATATCTTCTCATAAAATGAAAAAGATCAAAATATGTATACTTTCTTCATTAAAGTTTTTTTTAAGCTAATGAAGTTTTTCCATCAACAAAAATATCTTTCCTTTTCAGTTTCTTGGAATTATTAATTTCAAATGAAGTATTTTTATTTTTTCACACACTTTATCAAATGAGACCACACACAAGTGAATGTTAATTATTAAAAAATAATACTTTTATATACAAAATGAAACCTCTTTCAACTTCTGAACTTTTAGTCCTATGGACTTGAATTTAGTCTCAATTGATTCAGCTAAAGAACTGCTGAAGGGAAAAAAAAAAAAAAAAAAAAAACAATGACAAAACATCATTTTTATATTTTACAATTTATAGCAATATGTGGTGCCTAAATAAGTATTAGTCAGAATTATATAATTATAATTAGTATTTTTTAAACTATTAGTATTATCATCTCATGTTTGATCTCATTTGGTCCAGTGTAAAAAAAAAAAAAAAAAANAAAAAAAAAAAAAAAAAAAAAAAAAAAAAAACCTCTTATAATATCAGTATTTAAGTTTCTCCTTTTTTACCTCATCTGCCAAAACACATTATGTGATTTTCATTTGAAGGTGTTTAAAACCCAAATAAACAAATAGGTCCTGGCTTGTTATTTTGAATGTGTGCATCAAACCTTTATTTAACTAATTTTGATTTTTTGTACATTCATTACTGCAAATTCAAAGCATAAGGTTGCAAATTAGGTATTTTTTTGGTGAATGTGAATTTATATAAATTTTAATCAGTACTTCAATTGTAATTGCAGGGTTTGTTTCATATTTGGCCCAGCTGTAACATATCCAGTTCAAGATATAACGCCGACTTTCCTGACACCAACTGTTCTCAGCACGTTGCGACAAGTCGACCACGTTGCTCACAATATCTTACAAAACTCTGGCCAATTGGAGAGCATATCTCAGATGCCTATAGTTTTAATACCTATTCACTTTGATAGGGATGTTGTGTCTCGAAATCCATCCTGTCAGAGATCTGCTGTGATCAGGACATTTATTACGCATGATTTTATGACTGGTATACCGGCTACACCAAATAAGCATTTACCTTTAGATGTAAGTAATTTCAATTGCCAGAATAGAACTACTAATTAAAGGCCTTATTTGAATAGTGAGACAACTCGACTGCAAAAAATTGAATTAGTAGAGTTTATGTTCATACTTGTTTTAAAACCAGTACACTTCAATCTTATTTTTGCGACCCAAACTGAGTACACGACCAATCAGATATAATAGAAGAAGCAATGAAACAATCCTTAGGCTTCAAGATTGTGTATCTCGGAAGGGACTATTATTCAAATAAGGCCTTCAATTATCACTAGGGTCATTCTATAGTACAGTACAGAACCTGTTATCCGGAAAACCAAAAAACCGGAACGAAATTTGATAAATTTTCCCGCCATTTTTTTAAACAAAAAAAAAATTGTTTTTTTTCCTTATAAGATTTTAGGATTTTTCTTTCTTTTTTGAAAGATGTTAACCTTACCACCATTTTGGAACTAATCATTAGTGTATTACTTCATCGTTTTTTCTTCTTTTTAAGATTATTTCCAAAAATGTTTTTTTTTAAGTTGGGTTTAACAATAAAAAAAATAGCTTTTTGTAGCGATTCAGAAAACCGGAAAAATCAGTTATCCGGAATAGCGATGGTCCCGATCGTTCCGGATAATCGGTTCCCTACTGTATTTAACTTATATTCCGTACATAGCTCAGGGCTGATTGTGCTCTGGAAAAAATCCGGATTTTTCGCTGACAGTGATCTGGAAGTTTCCGGAGATCGAAGGTCCAGACGTTTCAAAAAATCATTAATCACAGAAGTTTCCGGAAATCAAATTTTCAAAGGTGGAATTTAAAAACATAGTTTATTTTATTTGCCTCTAAGGGAGAGCCACAGAGATACTTTATAAGCTTATATTCATGATTAATATTCATTTTTTATCACTAAATAGTTGTTATAATCATAAACTCAAAAAAAAAAGACATATTTGTAAATTTTAATTACTTCACCAGGTCATCATAGGTATGTGTAAAATTTTAAATATATTTTAAGTAAACTAAGAAATATTGAGAAAAAGGAAAAAAACCTTGTTTAAATTTTTTTCAATTTAAACTGTTTTTTTTTTTCTTTTTTTTTAAACTCAGGAAATTTTCCAGAATTTTGACTTGGGCTCACAATCACCCCTGATAGCTTATTTAATGAATGAAAAAAAAACTATCAATTTAATGCATATATTTTTTAGCATTATGTAGCAAAACAACTAAATGATCCTAAGGCTTCGAGTTAGTATCTCAGAAAGAACCATTATTCAAATAAGGCTTTCAATTATCACTAGAGTCATTCTATAGTATTTAATTTATATTCCGTAAGTATATATTGCTAAAAGGGAAAAAAAAAACATTTTCATTATGGAAAAAATGCTACAAATATGTCAAAATTTGGCTTTTCTTGTATATCATATATACATACTCTTCAATGATCTGTGACAAATGTTATGACTTGTGATTTATTTTTTAAATTTATATCTTATTTTATAAAGTACTATTTGGTGTTTTCTAATATTCCCCAGATTAAGAATGCTTTATATTGTTAAAACTATTGCTAATGTAAAGAATTGAAAGAATTCACTTGGTATTAATGGCAGAAGTAGATTCTCTTTTTTTTTTTTATGTAAACAAAATATTATGTGACTTATTTATTTATTTAAAGTTTTCTTCCATTAAAATGAAAATTCCTATGAAATGTGCATTTCAAATTGTAGAAGTAGGAATGCAATGTACAGTGTTTCCATTACAGAAAAAAAATGAGATGGGATTTCTCACCTTTTCTCTGTGTTCTGCTGTTCGCACTGGTTCTGAACAATACTGGTAAATAGGGAAGCTAGATAACAAGGATTGATGTTGAAAATAATGAAAGATCAAGGAAGAAAAGTGAAACAGTCTTTATTCAAAATGGCAGAAGACTATTTTTTTTCTAAAATTCGCGCATTTTGAAATTGATTAATAGAGTGCGCGATCTTCTCGCTTTAATAATTTTTTAATGCGAGAAAAGAAAAAAATAAGCAAGATTCTCGCGCTGTAGTGAATACACTGAATATAGGCAGGAATAATTCCTAAGTTTCTGACAATGATGAATGGGGTATTGGTGAACTTTTATTCTTTTTTGCCAACTATACTGTTATAGTTTTTTCTTCTTTTTCATCGGACGAAATCTGCCAACTTCAAAAATCAGAAACTGCAGGTAGTACATTTTATATCTGAGGATTCCTATTAACCGACACACTCGAGAACGGGGGAGTATGTCGGGAAATCAAAATTGTTGGATAGATGAGGGATCTTTTAAAGGCGATATCTTAATGTATATACAGTAGAAGTCCATTGGTCCGGCATCGCTCCGGAAAATGGTAAAAATTTTGGTTTTCTCCAAAAGTGTGTCTTTAAATCAAATAAAAACGCTCGAGAGCTATTCGGAAGTTTTCGGGGTAGTTCGGGATCATCCGGAAGAGCTCGGTACTAAAGCCATCCTTCTTTTGGACAATTGCAAAGCCCACCTGCCAGTAGATGAGTCAGTTTTTGGAAATATTGTTGCTACTCTGCTCCCACCTAACGTAACATCTTTGATTCAACCCATGGGTTATTCAAAATTTTAAATGCTTTTATAGAAGGTCTTGTATTCAAGGTCTGTTAAATGCCGACTGTGACGTGACTGATTTTCAAAAAAAGTTTACAGTGAAAGATGCCGTCTATGCTATTGCACTGTCTTGGAACCAGGTAAAAAATACAACACTCCAAAAATGCCAAAAGTCAAGAAAACAAAAGGACATTCGTGACTTTTTAAAATCTAAGTGAAATGTTTTACAGTACGTGTACATACATTATATGAAATGTAAAATAAACTTTGTTGTATGTATTTGCTAGTTTAATTATTAACCTAATTGTTCGTATAATTACCGCCCGATAGACCAGAATTTTTGGTAGTCAGGCACCGAGCCGGTCCCGATCATGCCGGATTATTTGACTTCTACTGTACATTGAACATAGGGTAAAAATAAATTGTAACTATAATGAAGTATTTAAAAAAAAAATTTTGTTTCATTTTTCTATCATAAATCAGGAAATTATATATGAAAAATTATACCTTTTTATTTTCTGTTGCATTTAGTTGTTTTTTATTTTTTGCAGCCATATTTCAGATTCATTGTCATACAATCTGATAAAAGTAGGTATAATAGTAGAAGGATTGCTGGAACCCTTTTGACAAATGTCTAAAAGTGGCAGTTAACCGGGTACCCGGTTAACTGCCACACAAAAAGTCAAGGATTTTGACCTTGATCGAAAATTGCCATGGAAAGTCATGATTTTTAGTGCTTATTTTTGATTCACGTTTTTTAAAAGCCCTTAAAGGTGCTTATTTTATACTGTGTTTGTAAAAAGTGCTTAATTTTCTATCTTTAAAAAAAAAAAAAAAAAAATTCTTTGTCGTTCTAAATTACAAAACAATCATGATTTTCAAAATTTTTTCTGCAATATTTATCAGAAACTAGTTTTATCATGCTTATGTAAAGTTTTTGAATTTTATGTTTATAAATTAAAACCTTTAAACGATAAGAAAAAATATTTGTTATTACTGTGCAGATCCTAATTATGATTTCTTTTTTGGAAAGTGATTACAAATATTTTTTGAGTGCTTAAAAAGTACTAAAAAGGTGCTGATTTTTTGTTGAAAAATCTAGCTACACACCCTGTAAATACTAATTAAAAATTCTGCTTCACAATTTGTATTCACATGCAGTGCTTTAGGTCAGGGGTCCCCTGGTTTTATATGTTGTTAATAATAATTTTCTGCTTTTTTTTTTCTCTAGGTCATTAAGAAGATGGTGACAGAAATGTTGAATGTTCCAGGTATTTCAAGAGTGCTGTATGACCTAACTCCCAAGCCCCCTGGCACAACTGAGTGGGAGTAATAGATGGTTTTTAGAATTTTCAAAGTTATTGGTTGGGCTTAATGAATTTGATGGAAAGTGTAAATAAAAAGCCTTACTTTTAATACATAGTGAGTCTAAAAACAAAAACTTATTGAAAAAAAAATTGAAAGAAAAACTAAAAATTATTTTGAAATATATTCTACGAAATGTGACCTGAATTTCATGTGAATGTAGAAGCTTCTGGCTGAAACTTGGAAAGTTGTTGTAATTCAGATATAGTGTCCATGTTATTATAATTCATTTTAATATCTAAATTTAATAAACATTGGTCTTGATGTGTTTGTTTATATGATGGCAGTTTTCTTTTAGTCTACCAAAAATTTATTGTATTTGTTTGATTTCTTTTCATTGTTACTTGAGTTGGTTTTCGTATGTCGGAATGATTTTGAAGGAAAGCATATTGTATTGCTAGACTTCTACAATGTGATATGGCAATCAGATTACTTATTAACAATCATTAAATTATTGCTTGTGATGAAAGTTTCGTTATTTTTTTCATAAATAACAATTTTGAAATTTTAAGAACTTAAAATTAAAATTTAAATCTGCTATGTGAAACAAAACAATAAATATATATCCTTGCCTTACCTTTTTGTTTTTTGCCAATAATACTAACTTTTTAAGAAATAGTTGAATTTTTGTCAGTTGCAAAGTTGTTGATTTTAATATGTTAAAATTAAAAAAAAGTTTTTCAATGAGTTAGCACAGTTTTAATGTTTCATAAATATTAAAATAAGAATTTGGTTTAGAGTTGCAAAATTTTTGGGTTTGGGGGGGGGGGATAAATGCCATTAGTTGGCTAATACACTGCTTTCTAACCAAAAATTAATTTGTATAAGCGGCATGTAAATGTTTATTTCAATAAAACAGAAATTTAGAGTATTATATTATCTCTATATTAAAAAATTGTAAGGGCTGCAGATGCCGTTTTGTGTTTTTACTTAACATTTCATTTTATTTTACTGTGCAAAAACTATGAAACTTGAAATTACTAAAGTGTATAGAAAATTGTCCAGGGATTAAGATAGAATAAAAAATTTAATTTGAGAATTATTAAACTTGTAGTAAAAAACAAATATTGGTTTATCTACAGTCTGTTGAACAGTAATTACATAGTTGAAATTTGACGTGCTGATAATAATTAGAAAATTTTTTCTCTCACAATTTTCATTTTGTAATTTAGCACTTTACTAAAAGGAACAAAAACATAGTTATAAATTAATAAATAAGTGAGAGGTTATATGTTGCCATTTATAAATCTTAACATTTATATAAAAATATAAAGCCTGAAGAGTGACAAAAACTGTTATATCATGTAAGGTCATCTCATATTGTTAACAATTCAAATTATTTCTAATTTATTACTGCTTATTGTAGCATATTCTGTATTTATAAGTGAATTTTTTTCTTCAAATTCTGCTATTATCTTTTTAATTATTGTTGAAAGTTCTGAGGAATCACTACAAAGTAGCGACTACAGTAGTTTCACTACTTGTACTGCGGTACTTCTGATCACTGGTTTCGTCTTGATATTCCTGCTTTTTTTGTTTGTTCAGAACTTACAATTTTAATGAACATGCCATTTTAAAAGAATCTGATTTTTTTTTTAAAATTATTTTCACTAGAAAAGGAATAAGAAAAGCTAGACATTCTCTATGTCAAAACTAGTAGTTCAAAAAATAAAGTTGAAACATTTATCTGGTGAAAAGGAGTTGAGCCTTAAGAACGGAACTGCGTCTTTCTCTTTTCATTGGTAGAATGAATTATTCCTGAATCAATATTGGAACAAAAAAATTTCTTAATTAACCTCACTTTTTAAAAACACTACACATCCTGTTTTTATCCATCAACCAATATACGCATTCAAAATTCTTCTAAAGAAAAAAAAATTTTAAAACAAGTAGAGTTTTAGACAATTAAGGATTTTTAATTAGGACGGAACAAACACCTGCATCAAGTAAAAGCTGCAATAGAAAAAGATTAAACTAAACACATTAATCAACATATATGTGAAAAACGAAAATCATTTACTGCTTTTTACTCAATATTGGCAGTGTTTTCATTACAGAAAAAAATTGGGTGAGAATTTCTCACCCTTTCTCAAAAACTGGGTGAGATTTCAAAAAGTTAGGTGAGATTTCTAAAAATGAAAAAAACACGAATAGACTTGGAAAAGAAATATTTCATTTTTAACATCTTCTAATTTTTAAAGCATTGAATATTCTTGCTGCATTATCACATGGAAAATGTTCTATATCTACTTTTTCATCAGCTATTCTCATTAGGTTGCTCAAATGCTTATCAGTCAATCTGTTAGTATATTTTGTCTTAATTCGGTTTTGGATGCAACAGATGCTGAACTATTCGGAACCACTAAGCAAATTTGTAGCATTGTGCACACACTTTCCTATCCTCTTCACCTGCCAGCATAGGCTTTTCAATTATTTCTGCTATAGAATAGCGAAGTTATTTTCATGTTCTTACTTCTTGCTAGTATTTGATCCGTATCCATTGAATATCCGTACTTGTTTTGTTTTGACCGTTCCTACCGACATTTGTTTCCTTTTCATTTGTGCGTTATGGATTAGAAAATGTTGCCTTAACAAGGTATTTGTCCATCTTACATTCAAGCTCAAAAAATTTAAACGTCTTACATGAACAAACCTTACCTACGGTTAACATGTGGTTGAAGAGAAATGTGTTCTGAAAGGGTTTCGGAGGTGGGGGGCATTGTGTTCTGCTGTTCGCACTGGTTCTGAACAATACTGGTAAATAGGAAAGCTTGATAACAATGACCGATGTTGAAAATAAGGAAAGATCAAGGGGTTAAGGATTGAGAAACGTATTTCATTTAAAATAGTGGAAGAAGAAATTTTTTCCAAAATTCGCGAGATTCGCTCATTTTGAAATTCATTAATAGAGTGCGAGAACTTCTCGCGTTAATCATTTTTTAATGCGAGAAAAGAAAAAATATGCGAGATTCTCGCTTTGTAGTGAAAACACTGATTGGAGCAATTTAAGAAGCTGTTCCAACCCTGTATGATGGATGCTTATGAAGCATTTAATTGTGTTTCTTTGTACTTTCTAATCCAATATGCAAATTGGAATCAATTTTGGGATACAGTTGATAAGTTAGAAGGCTTTAGGAAAGCATGTGCAAATAGGAAACCAACATTTTGTTACTAACCCTTGCTAATTTGTGCAATAAATTTCAATAATTTTATATTTAGAGAAAAAAATAGAGCAGAGAATGTAAGTACAGTTTTTTCCTTTCTTCATAAGTTTATAACTTAATTTTATTTTTTGAAGTAATTAGCTGTATTTATTATGTAAACATCTATAGAAGTTATTAATTTATATTTTCATAATAGAACTTTACGATTAGAAAACTCAAAAAGATATAGATAATGTCTGTGTATCTTGTGATTTTCATAAAACATTTCGGAACTGAACTATTTTTCTGTTCTCCTTTGAACTTTCGCTTATGACGTTTGACAACTTTTGAAGAAAATTAGATGATAAAAAAACCTTTTGGGTTGCCATTGTAACTTGAAAATGTTTCTAATAATCGCTTTTCGATTCTTTGTCCCCTTGGATAATCACACTGTTTTTGATGATTTTTATTCACATCTTCTAAAATAGTGATTTGTCAGATTTTGAATGCATTTTCTCTTGCTTAATATAAATTAACAATCTCATTGAGTATAGTTTATTGACTCTGTATGTGTACACATACAGCAAAGAAATTAATTACTATAAAAAGTTTAATAAGTAGATAAAGTCAAGGGTGCAAAGTAGCAATTTGACATGCACTTGACTTAGTAAAACAAATTAAAGATTTATCTAGAAAGAATTCCCTCACGAGCTGCGTAAAAAGACTGCAGACCATGGAACACATAAATTATTAAATAATTAAAAAAATAAATAAACAGTCAATACTCCCTTGTGCATCATCAAAAACTGATTTTTGCACACAGTTCAGCATTGAATCGCTATCAACCACCCCCAAAACTGCATTAATATTTAATACCTTAGTTATTTTGCAAATACAATTAAATATTGAAGTTAAGACTCACTTGCTCAAGAATTAAACAGCACTTGATGTGGCCACACCAGCATCGAGTCACCATGCAATAAGCATTAATCAAGTTCATTTTATCTTAAACATTAGAAATGTTACAATCGTGGATCCAAAATCCTGAATTTAAAGTACTGGGTTGATATGCACTGAGGCATTTTTAAAAGCAACTCTAAGGAAGAATTTTAAGGTGTCTGACTGGGTTAAAATCTGAAATTTTGCTGAAAATTTCTATTTTTTCTAGTGCATTTTCAGAAAAATGTTGATTTTGAGAAAAATTTCTACTCACATAGTAAAAAAGAAATTTTTTTTATACAATTCTTTTTAACTTAGTATATAGATTTTGTAAGTCAGGTCTAAATGTGCATTTATTATTTTTATCACGCTTTCAGCAAAAATGTTTAGAATTTTTCTTTCTTTTTTTTAAAATCAATATTGAACAATAAAGAATTTTATTGTACATTTAAAATTTTACAAAGATAGTAGCTCAAAACACATTTAACTATATTGATCTAGAAATTTTTTTGAAAATATTTATGCATCACAATTTGTTGCAGAGCTGTTCATCTGACATAAAAATGAGTAGTTTTATACTCAAATTGGCCCTTATTAGGAAAATTTTTTACTTCACATTTATAAACTTAGAACCCCATCTAACCAAAATTAAAATCTTAGTTAACATGTTGAATGTCATGGGGGTGACTGGCAAAGCCAAGATGATTAGAAACACATAATTTGAGTAAATTTTTAATGCTTTTAATTTTTTATATTGTTACTAAAATGGTTTGAAGAATGTAATGTAATACATACTGAGAAAATCATTTCGGACAGACGGGCAAGCCATGTAAAATTAGAGTGGTATTCAATGTGATACGATTTTAAAAAAAATTATGGACAAATTATTTCAAAGCGAAATATAAAAAGGGGATGTTAAGTGGAAAATTAAATATACTTAAAACCATAATAGATTATTAAATATATTTATATACATATATGTAAACAGATAAAAGCTGTTATAAAAGTTAGATACAAATAATAAAAAAAAATTCAGTTTACTACTGCCATTTTGTCTTGTGAAGCTTGTATTTGTGTAGAGGACAAGTGTAGCCATTAAAAACCTTGACAAATCTATTAATAAAATAGTGTAGAATGCTATTATTTCAAATTATTGCTGTGAGGTGCAGGACCCAAATGGCATACCCTTTACAATCACGAGTTATATAAAAACAACCAGACACAGTTCACATTATTAAGGCCAATCGCACTTGATGGCTGCGACACCTTTCTTTAAACCAGAGGGTACAAGAAAAAGGGGTTGTACACTGACTAGTTGGCTGGACACAGTTGAGAGGGACCTAAAGATAATAGGAATAACTAACTGGAAGGACATGGCACAGAATAGATCAAGATGGCAAGAACTTATTGGGACGGCCTTGGCCTGTCTTAGGGCCCAAGAAGAAGTGAGGAGTGGGAGAACCACCGTTTTTTATATATTTCTTTCAAAATAACCCCCTTTTTTTCCCTATATATATCTGCATATATATTGAGTCATAAAATACACCTGAACTTGTCTTTTATAAAAATTGGTCTATGATATGTAAAAGATTGGCTTAACATATGCAATACATGCTGTTTCAACATGGATTATTTTTTTTACAGCTCTTGGTTACTTGTAAATAATCATTGCATAAACAAGGTTAATGCAAAAATTTGAAAAAAAATTATTAAAACTTATAAATGCTTTTAGAATGTGTTATTGCTTTGCACTATATTGTATAGGATTTTTTGATTAGTTTCTAGAACCCAATTGAAAAAAAAATTATTTTTTTCAATTTTAAAATATGACACAAATGACAACAATAGAATTTATTGACATATACAGTTAACGTATAAAACAAGCTATGTAATTTGCTTTTTACACTCACTAACAGCTGGATTAGAACAAATATATACAACAGTGATGTAAAAATCTTTCAATTAGTAAAACTGAATTTTATTTCTTATTGCATTTGTAAAGTAACAATACCATGCATTTATCGTTAAACTTTAACATAAAAAAATTACTATTTGTAATAAAAATGTATGATTGTTGGTATTGATTGAAAGATAAATTTATAGTTAATGAATCACAGCTATCAGGATTGTCATATACTATCCCACACACAAAAATAGTAACTTAGATAACTAAAACAGTTGTCCAACAGACTCCAGACTTTTACTTAGTCTGGATGAAACCATTACATGTCTTCAAAGACTGTAAACATTAAATTTTATTACACATTAATTTAATAAAAATTTAATTCTCTTAATTTGGGCATTATTAAATTTCTATTAATTAATAATCTTAATTTGTTTTTGGCATAAGGTAAATATAAAATAAAAAAAAGTGTTTCATTCATTATTTACAAATCAAATCATTAGTTACAGATTAATACTGATTCAAGTTTAGTTATCCAGGTTTAAAAAAGAAAAGAAAAATTCACAAGTTTTGAGCAACAAAGGTTTTGATTTGTGACTTACAAAAATCGAAATATAAATGACTTTACCCACCAAAATTTATTTTCAACAATAATTAAAATAAATAACCAAAGGATAATTAGAAATTAAAAGAAATAAGTTTAATTAGTTAAAAATAAACTACTTAAATTCAGTAACATCTAATAACAGTAATGATATACTAATTATCACAGTAGGTAAAATATAATTGTACACATATTTACATAAACTTGTTGGCCAACAAACCACGTTTTTTTTGGGAAATATTTACTAAATAATAAACTTATATAGCAATCTTTAAATGCCAATACTGATTAGAAAATCTGGTGTAGCAATGTAGTTGAGCCATCTCTCCAAGTCGGATCATCAGCAATTTGTGCTCTACAAATGGGGCAAGTGCGTTCACGATCGAACCATAAAGCAACACACTCTTCACAGAAAATATGCTAAATAAAAAATTTAAATGTTTTAGAGCAATACGAGAAAGTAAAGTGCAGTGATATGAAATAAGCACGTCATAAATAACAAAACACTTTCTTCAACATTGTAACAAAGAACAAAAGATATGTAGAAGAAATTAATAACAACAATAGAAAAAAAAGATTGACTAAAGATAGTCAATATTACTTGATAAAAAACTTCATCGCTTCAAAAATATACAAATTGGAAATAACAGTCTACACGTTTGAAGCGCTCAAAATAGGCGCCCATTTTCAAGACTTGACGTAAATACAACGAAATACAGAAAAATTAAAGACAAGAAACAAAACTAGGAAAACCACAAATCGAGAGAAAGAAAAGGAGAACAAGAAAAACCATAGTGGCCGAGAGGGGCAAATCAGTGTAAAGTGCATTTCCATCAGCTATGAGGTGAGGTAACAAGGGAATCACTTTTATATTTCAAATCACTTTTGTTTCTTCTCTAACAAGTCTTGAAAATGGGCACTTATTTCTGAGAGTTTAAAACATGTCAACTGTTATTTCTAATTGGCATATTTGAGAAGCAAATGAAGATTTTAATCAAGTAACATCCAACCCCTTCAGTTTCTTGGGATTAATTATTTAATTTAGGATAGTCAATGGTAGGGAGATAAAGAAAAATAGCATACGTGGAGTGAGATTCCTTTATTTGGAATTTGAAGTAAAATGTTTGGAGAAAAAATAGGATACTAGAAAGTTAATTAACTAAAACATTAGAACATTTTGAAACATGGAATGATTCCCAGAGATCTAGGTCAGTAAAATAAAGAGTAATGTTGAATAGACTTGGCAGCATTGCTTTGAAAAATTATAATAATTTAATTTATGACTTTTCTAGTATCCCCTCCTCTCAAATGTTTGGAAATCTATTTTATTTTCAACATTTTCAGTTCTCATTCATCTTATACCTCCTGTTTTCATTTCTCTTAACTAATGTTGACTATTTTATTTCCCTACCCTTTGGGTCAATCCCTTTTTTTCCTTGTAACTTGTTTTTGATTTCTGCAAGAGCACCATGTTTTTTCTCAGCATTAAATAAGGTAAATCATAAGAGAATGGAAACAATTGTATGACTATTGATAGTATATTATTTCAGTCTTCTCTTTATACAACACAAATTTAACCTATCTATAATAAAATAGAAGAACAAATGTTGCAGTAGATACAATTAATTCCAGAAGGATGATACTGGCTTATATAGATATAATTTAACTTTTAACTGTAACCCTCTTTAAGCCAAAAAATTTAAGAATTTATTATATTAAAAAATTTAAACATCATTTTTATAAATTTAAACATCCAGCAAAGATATGATTAATTATGAAAAAGAAGAAATTTGGTTTCACGTGAGCATAAAAACAGGTACAGTCAAAAAATATTTCTAATGTGAGAAAATTTTAGCATCTCTAAAGAACATTAAATATTTTTAAGCAATTTTTTTTCTAAAATTAGATTGGCTTGATAATAAAAAGAATCAAAGTCTATATATGTTTAAGTTTGCTTTAAAAAAATTTATAATACAACCTACACTCTATTTTTGCCACTTATTTTACAATTCTTTGAATAAGCTAATTTTAGCAGGAAATAATAATGACTTAAAAATGGAAAAAAAAATTTAAAAGGGTAAAGGGAGGGTGGAGTAAGGTATATATAAATAAGAGATATTAGAGTAATTTTTCATATTAATTTTTGAGTTTTTAAGCTATATCTTACATGCAAATAATGAAATTCAAATAATTTTAATAATATTCAATACTTTGTATAAATAGACATACTTTGCATTGCAACATTGAAGGAGATTTATAATCATCTTGACATATAGGGCATGCATCACCAGCTTCTTTTATTTGATTAGTTGAAGGTGTAACACCATAAGTCTATAGAAATAGAAGTTACCACGTGATTCAAAATATTAAATCAATACAATAATATTAAATCAATACTAAACTCTAAGCAATGAAAAATAGCAAAAATATAACAAACATTTAACATAAATGACAATTCAAATAAATTTTACTAAATATTTTATCACATAATAACAGAAATAAAACAAACACTCTATAGCAAATTGTTTTCAAACTTAGATTTTTCATACTTGAAGCATTTATTGTGAGACAAAGATAAGCCTCTTTTTCAATGTTTTCATGTGCCATAAAAAATTTAAAAATGGTAGCAATATTTCCCCATTTATAATGAGATTTTAGCTAAGTATATTCACATAGTGAAAAATAAAGTTTCTCCTGGAACTATTTTTTTTAAAAAACTTAAAAGCTAAAATTTGAAACTATCCACCGCACATTATTTCGAATATGATATAACTTTTTCATACTTCAAAATTTTATTTATTATGGTCTATCAATATCACAATAACGATTTCATATACATTGAAAATTTGAGAATAATAATTTAGATTTTGATTGATAGGAAAGTGGTTCTCCAACTACATATAAAATTTGATTTTAACATTCGTAGTGGGCTACAGAAAAAAATCAGGACAGCATATTTCAATAAAAAGTAGAACATTTTTGGAGCAGTAGTAATATACTAGACAACATTAAAATAAATAAAAAACTAAAAAAAAGTATAACTCGCTATAGATAAATATAATAAAAACAAATTATAGAACAAAATAATAGTAATTTCAGAATAATTTTGTTTAGATGGTATCAATAAGTTAATATTTTCTCTCACCAAAATCTATCTAAATTTTTCATAAAGTTCAAAACTACTTAAAAAAAAAAAAATAATTTTAGAGTAAAGTTTTTATAACACAACAAAAACATAAATATGGTGGTCAATATTTTTGCACGAAAGTAATTTAATAGATGAAACCCCAGCTCACTATTTAAAAAATTCTATTTGATATTGTTCCTATATTGGTGATTGCAATCTATCATTTTTAAAATCAGATGAAAGAGATGAATCAATAATTATGAAACTACAAAATTCTACCCTAGAAGATGGTTTTTGTTACAAATAATAAATAAGCATATGACCCCTGAATTCATCATAGTAAAAATTTGATATTGTAAAATGGTTAAGTTTTTCTTTTCATTTTGCGACTGAATTCTCAAAAGGTTTGAAACAATGAATCTAGCAAGTAAGGGTATTTGCCTGAATCAGGCATATGATTGATTAGTGGTCAGTTCCCAAGTTCGATCTATCGAATTTTATGACTTTTACTAGCATTAAAAAGTAATAATCAAAAATTCAAACTATTCGATTCTTCAAATTAAGTATTTTAAAATCTGCATTTGTAGAAAATTGTATGTTCTGTACACTAAAAAATATGAGGAATAACAGAACACAAAACTACGAATAAAAAGGATAAAAGAATAAAAAGGGTACAAAATAATCTACATCATAACAATTACAAATCCCTGTTAATGAAAAAAATTTTTCATCGCTCTGAAAAAAAAAATTCTTGCAATTGATATTCTTTTTTTGGTGTTTACGATTTGTTTGCAAAATGTTTTACATAATTAGCGGTTTTACATGTGAGCGTTTTTTTTTCTTTCCTCTAAGATGAAATTTCCTTCTTCGCATGCTCAGAAAGTAAAAGTCATTTTCATACATTTTAATTGTTCTTATTTTACCTATCCTTGCATTTATACAGTTCAGGTAATCCGAAAAAAGTGATTATTTACGTATATATATATTTGGAGATAGCTGTTTTTAACGACAAAGTTTGAGGAGAAGGAAACACGTGTCTCTTTCGAAGCCTAAAATGATATCTGAAGGTGCTTCATTTTAAGATGATAAAGCAAAGAAAGTTTTTCAAATAAATTATGGATACTGAACATTTTCTGCTGTTTTCTTAAACTTCTAAACATATGTAACTTATTTAAGGAGCTAAAGAATTCTGACCAGCGAACCCGAGTTTTCGCCACTACTCGACCACTCATCTTCAAAGGTTAAGTCATTGTCGGAAGTAGCCATATGTCAATCATTTATTAAGTTAACCATTTAAAGAATGAAAGGATACTTACTTTGCTCTGTAAAACTTTCATCAACGTTTCTCTCCAAAGCTTGAACTTTTTAATGAATCCTTTAAACTAAAATAATAATAAATATTAGTTAAAAAGAAAAAATGCTTCCCTACTATTTTCTTTTATAAAAAAAAATTAACTTACTTTGAAAATCAAATAAGTAGCAGAAAGTATAACACCAAAAACTTTACTTGGTCCCGAATAAGATTCTGAGAAAAAATATAGCCAATGCTGCACTGGAATTATGGTACGATATAGCTGTGAAGATCGTTCAGTGAAAAGGTAATATTTGCCCTAAAAATATTCAATATTTTTTTTTTTTGGAAAATTTGATTGAAAGACAAATAGTGTGAAAAGAAAATTAAAGTAACATACTTTCTTCTGGCATGCAAGTATTTTTGTAGGAATTGAAACAAAGACTATTTTGACACAAATTGTAATCAAACGAAGAACAAAATCAGTCACAGACACTATCCATAATACATCCCACAAATCAATTGGAACAGAGTATGGGGGCACAAAGATCAATCTATCAATTAAATTAAAACAGTATTAAAATTAAAAGAAAAATATTCGAAATGGTATGCTACGAAACACAAAATGCTTTCTTGTCAAATTAAAAGTATTTTATCAAAGAAATGACATGTGATAAATTAATTAAAAATATTTTCATTTTACAGTCTTCAAGAAATACAGTAGTCTTGATAATTGGGGTATAGTTAGAAATACTTTTTTTCCGCAATTGATCAACAGGAAGCAAAATTTGAACTCAAAATCAAAGTTTTATAATTACATAATTGTATTATTAAATTCATACACTTTATGTATCTATTTAATAATACATAATTATCCCTGTAGCAGAATTTTTTCGAGCTATCTGCGACAAAACTCTATCACTAATATCTTTCTGCAAGATACTTTTAATAATAGCAAGCATATATGTGGCAAATTTAAAATAACAAAAGCACTATGATTACAAAAAAACTATAGAATTTTTTTAAATATAACGTGTAATAATTTTTTTACTCTAATATTATGGGTGATTCTCGCAATCTGTGGGGGAGGCACACAAATTGTTTCCTTCCTCGCATTTTGTAAATAATTATCACAATAAAAAATATAATTAAAAATCATGAAATCCGTAGTAGTAATTGCCAAAAAAAGAACGACGGCGAAATCACGCGAATCGGGCTCCTCAAATGCGTGTTTCGTTTCGAGATAATGTTGTTGTAATAAATACTATCGCATAAAAAATATCGGATTTAAAAACTATGGAGAAATCAATAGCAATAACTGCCAAAAATGTTATAGAATTATTGCCTTAAAAAGTGAATACTCAAATGCACGATTCAAATTTTCCATATACTTTGAAATATATCGGGATATTTAAAATCCATGTGAAAATCAATATCAATAACGTGAAAATCAATATCGAAACATTACGCTGATTTACGATACTATCGTCATAAATTGAGAGCGTCAAAAAGTGATTATCGAAATGCATGATTCAAATATTACGTGTAAATTTCTGTGCGAAAGAAGAAGAAAAAAATTTTCAAAAGAAAAATCTTTCTGCAAGAACACTAAGGTTCTGCGACAATGTCGCCGTGATTCTACCACGGGGTTAATTATTAAATAGATACTATGCAATTAATGATATGAGAATATCAGGGATGGCAAATTTCCTTCTTCAGTAAAAAAATTTCAAAAGAAATAGGTTTCTCCTAACCAGAGCGGAAGAAATTCTTTTAACAATAAGGAAGGTAACTTGACAAATTAGAAAGAAAAAAAAATTAAAAAAAAAAAGAGAAAAAAAGCATAAAATATTGAAACAACTTTTTTGACAGTTAATAATTTCAATCTGAGGATTGCTATATATCTCTAATAGCCACATGAGTCAAAGTCAAATTGTCTGAAAAATGTTCAAATGGAATGTTAATACAGATAATGGAATATTAAAAACATGAAGTGCTAAGCAAATAAAATTATACTATTACACAATAAATCAAAATCGATGTTTAAATGAAATATACAGATAATTTTGATGTAAAACTGAGTAATTTCACAAAAATTACTTTAGCCTTGAAATACTTCTAATTTTATTTATCAGTATGAATGATTCGCTCAGTTGTAAAAGAAATTAGGTGTATGAAGTTGAAAATATCCACAAAGTAAGTAATTAATTTCAAAATCTTTAGACTAGGAAGGAAAAAAAATCTACAGATTTCTCACTGATAAATATGAAGTAAAAGGAATTTTTTTAAATGCTTTAAACATGACAAAAATTCATTTTTTAATATGGGATAACAGTTTTAAATATTTATATCATTGAAGTATGCCTATATAACAGACAAGGAGATAAGGCAGATGAATTGCTTCAAAAACTTAGATTTGTCAACTTCATATTAGAAATATTATAAAAATGGGCAAATTTGAAATAAAAATCTTAAATCACAACTTAAAATATTGTGCATTGAATCAATATTTAAAACTTTTGCAGATGGGAAAACCTATACAAATAATTTTTGCATTTTTACATAATTACCTTATTTCACAAGAAGCAAGCTGGTCTGATATATTTTAAAAAATATTAATTTAACTACATGCTGGATTATCAGGTTTATGACAGTTTTATTATGACTAACTTGTGACAAAAAAAATTCAGTTACTGATAAAAAATGAAATAAAATAGCATTTTTATAAGACACAAGACCTGATTTGCATCAAACATATAGTTATACACTGTCAAACAAAAACAACATTACATAACAAAAACAATATTTCACAATCAGTGTTCTCCTCCAAGTGCTTTTAGAAGAGCAGCCCACCCTGCCCTTTGATGCACCCTCTTTGTCCTTTTTTGTAAAAATAAGCCACCATACCTTAAAGAAACTACCTTTTTATTCATATTCCATTAAAAAAATTAATTCACTTAGTAAATAATAATTATACACAAGAAATATTAACTGTGCTATTAGGTTTAATTCTGATTATTATTGCAAATATTTATTTTACTAGTATTATTCTCAACTGGACACACTTTTATAAGTTTCTCTTTATTAGTATATTAATAAATTTTTTAAGTGCTTTAAAATTTTAAAATGATTTTTTTGATAATTTTCTTTCTTTTTTTTATAAAAAAAAATCCATTTTTAAATGTTTATTGTCTGGTAATTTTCAGTTTAAATTATAGAAAAAAAGTTTTATAATTGCAAAATCAATCATTGTTAATCAATCACTTTACTTTTTTTAAAAAAACATTTGGGTACAGCAATTGATGTCTTTTAAGATGTCTTTAATTCTTTTTTAAAAACTACAAATTTTTCTTCCATTTTGATAATGAGTGAGTTTGAAATATACACATAAAATAGAATGAGAGGGTATTTAAAAATTGTTTAGGATCACATTCAGTTATTACATATTTGATCAGTCTTAAGTGAGCATCCTTTTAAAACTCAAAGTATCCTTTTCAGTGAGGAAGCATCCTGCCCTTTTTTATTCCTAGGGAAAACTCTGGTTACATAGCATTAAACATAAACATTAAATCAGACAGCATAATAGTCAGGTGTATTCAGAAAGAATATAAAAATAGGTTTGTCTAGAATTTATAAAGCCCATACTCTCCAAAAGAAGATAAACTCTCTAATTGCTTACATGACCTGATTTTTTAAATTTTAAATATTAAAATACAAAATATGAATTTAAAAAAATATTTGTTCCCCTTGAATCTACAAATAATATCAAGATAACTACCTATTATATTTTATATACTTAACTATATTTGTAAATAATTTTAACACATAAAAATTTACAATAAGAAATTTGAGAAAAAATACTTACGCGTATGCTAATGAGCGATCGGCAAGGAGAGTGTATATAACCAAAATTGATGTTGTTAAGTTAACGAGAACAAAGCATAAATTTCTTAAACGGCGCTTTCCCTAAAAATTAAACAATCATTTTATATTCCATTCATAAAAAATTTAAAATATAACATTAAACTATTAACAAATTATAAATATACTAATTACCTGCCGAGATACTTCTCTTTTAACAACAGTATTTGCATGGCAAAAAGTTATAAATAATCCAAGGTTAACCAAAATACCTAAAAGTAAAAATTAGTAGCAAACATTTAGAATTTTAAAAAAAAATTGTTTTTAAAAATAAATTTTTGTTTGTAACTCATAAAAGATTATCATAGCTATGGTATGTTAAAAAACTTAACAGATTATCATAGTTATGGTATGTTAAAAAAAACTGAACAGATTATTATAGTTATAGTAGGATGCAGATGCAACTGAAAAGCATTTTAAAAATTCTGAGCTTAAATTTTATTTTAAAAATAATAACTAGCAGGCGTAATGAGTGACAAACCAGGCAGAAGCCAATATGATAGTATGATAGAGTTTGATTGCAATATATTTAGTAATGAGGTTTTAAAAACTCATAAAATAGTTTCTGCAATAAATAAATAGCAATTTGCAGTAAATAATAGTAACCAACTCTAAAATACTTTTTTCTCAAATGACTTTAAAAAGCAATCAAATAAGGAGGAACATAAATAATTTTTTTCTACATTTCTAAACTATCACAAAATAGGTAATTAAAATTTTTTGGATGACCAATGTAATTTGAGGTAAGATCATTGCCTAATAAGTTTAATAGGACCAAGATAAATTTCTTCAAAGATATAGTAAGAAGAATTGCAAACAAAGAAACAAATATTTTAAACATTTAACATCAGTTCCATATATAATCTTACCAATTCTATGATCAAATATCAGCTTTAATAACAGAATCAACACAAAAGGCATATATTTTTCTGCAAAAGCAATGATAGCTTGAAGCTCAGGTGAATTTCTAAGTGCAGAAACTCCTTGATCATTATCACTCGATCTGGTGTTATCATTTGTTTCTAAATTAGGCAAGTTGTCATTTGCAGCAGGGTTATGTACTGGGTTAAAAGAGTCTGCAGCAACTGATTCCATATCAATTACAAAGTTTTCAATGTTATTGCCAGAGTTCATGTTAGAATTCCTAGGAGTAGTAAGGTTGATATCTTCTGGACTTTCAAACCATAGCGAATGAGGATCAGCGATTCGCCTTGACTGTAGATGATTGGCACCAGATGCTGTGTTGATCAATGGACTCAAACCTTGCATCACTAAATCTTGAAGTTCATGTATATGTTGTGTTGCGCTACTAGCAATTTGATGCGAATTTTCGTGAATTTGTTGAATGCTCCAAGGAAGGTGATTGCGGTTCGGCCGGGTAGGTCTATTGTTTTCAGCCATTCTCCTAAAATTGAAACACTAATTTTTTATCAAAATAATTTTTTTCGAAAAAACTTTTTTTAAAATTTTAATAGCTGGACAATAAGAATTAAAATAAAAGAAAAAATGTATACATTTTGAAATAAAAACAAACTTTAAAAGTTGGAAACAGAAATATTGAAAAACAATAAAAATTTAAAGAAAGTCAATTATTATCTACAATTAAATTCATTAAAAAATAGATCTTAATAGCTAACTACAGTTTTACTACACCATTATAAAAACTTTAAACTTATTGAAACTATAGTAAATAAATAAATATTGTAAATAAATAAATATATTGTAAATAAATAAATATTGTAAATAATCATAAGTCCCTTAACATTTTCGTTTTGATTACAAGAAAAAAGCTTAAATTAAGGATATTGAAATAAGAATGGAAAAAATAAAAATATTAAATGTTTAATTTCTAAAAAGTTTAGTTTGCTCGATCTAAATGTATACAAATAATAAAAAAGATTTGATTTCTTCAAAACACTTTTAAGAAAAAGAAAAGAAAAAAAGCTTTCAACATCTTTACTGATAAAAATTGATAAAACTGTGAAACACAACATACAGTTCCAGTTATTATCTGAAATTTGTGATAAGGTTGTCAAATGTTAGTTTCAACAACATGATTCATTTTTACTTTACATAATGTAAAGATGTTTCGTTATAATCATATTATTTATTTCAAAGGTAAAAAATTTAAGCAAAAAAAATTGACAGAATCAAATCTATTACATTCATGTATTGAAAACTGGCAAAAATAAAAAATATACGAACACTGGCTATATTTAATTTTTAAAATATATATATATGTAATATCAAAAATACTAGCTTAATAAAATTAAAAGGATCTTTTGAGACTAAACTTAAAAAGAATTATATCTTATCTGCAGATAAGCTTATCTGGTTTATGAGAACATTAAAAATCTCTTTCACATACTTAACTTAGCTCTTCGGGTATATCTTAAGTTTCATTGAATAGCGATGAAATCTTTATTTATAAAATGAATCTACACCGCACAGTAAAATATCTTAAATGAAGCCGAATTCCCATTAAAGTCAAGAACTATATTGAGATATTAGTTCATCTCCATCTGGTCTTAAGATCTTAAGACGCCGGTTATAACAAAGAGGGTCTAGATATTACAGATCACATGACATGAACGAAATATTATGTTACACGTTAAAAAAGTGTACACTTATCCTTTGGAAATGGAAGTACAAAGTTGTGTCCCGGAGCTCTGCTCCAATTGTATATAAATTGTAAATAGATCTCTTTATTCTTTTCTTCAATAAAAGTATAGAAAATTCATTATGTTGTCATCCTTATAGAAAAGGATATTAAAAATATTAAAATATGACTGCAAATAGTATGAACTGCAATATTATGATAAATTAAAGGCCACGGCTCAAGAGTTTATGAGAAAACACGAGAAGGAGCACTACGGGAGCACTACATATATATAAATTCGATGTGATATAGATATGCAAAAGTAAAAAAATTATTAAACAAATTCAACCCTGACCACATCAAGCATTGCTTTAGTAAAAGCTTTAAGTGAAGATGAAGAAGGTTTTTTTAAGACAATATAGCTTGAAAATAAATAAGTAAAAAATAAAATTTTTTTTATCATGCATGCGTGTTAAACCTTTTTAGATATCGCGTCAGTTCTGCCACTAACATAGTACATCATTGTCATTTATTACTATGACATTTCTTGGCAACCAAAAATTAACATTAAACTCTTTTTTATGAATGTGAAACAAAAGATAAATGATTCTTACTTCTGAAATAGCAAAATTATATGTAAAGTAAATAAAATTTTGAATGAATATTAATGTCTACAAGAATAATAATATACGTTTAAAAAAAATTAAAAAGAAAAAAAAAACAGACGATTTGACTTCAGTTTGAATCAGCTTAAGTTGATAACCTAAGCCAATAGACTGTTTAAAAAATCATGAGGGAGAAAAGCTAAGTTCAAGAAAATTTTAGCATTTTGAAGAAAAGCAGCAACAAAAAAAAAAGAAAAACACATTCAAGAACTGGTTTTAGCAATTGATAAGGAACAATCTGGCGTTTTACTTTTTTAAAAACTTCATTTGATTTAAAAACATACAAATCAGAACTAACAGTAGACATGTTCCAAACGCTCAAAAACAGGTGCCTGCTTTCAAGATTTGCCAGGCATGAACATCTTTCTTTATAGACTTATTACTATCTTATTCTTTATAGATTTATTGCTATCGACAAATATCTTGGGTTAAAGAAAGACAAACATACCCAGGGGTCTGTCCAGACATTTTGTGAAAGGTCCATTTTTCGCGAAATTGTGAAAAAATTACTCACATTCTTTCAACCAGGGTCCGCTTTTATGAATTTGTGCAAATAGGGTCCGTTATTGCAAAAAAAAACTTTTTCAAGGAGTTTTTAAATTGTGAAGACATACAAGATTATGCTCAACACTGTAAAATTATAGTTAAAAAAATTAAATTTTAAAAAATAAACAACAATTGCTGCTTCTAAATTAGAGATGCAACATACAAATACAGTAGGGAACCGATTATCCGGAACGATCGGGACCATCACTATTCCGGATAACTGATTTTTCCGGTTTTCTGAATCGCTACAAAAAGCCGTTTTTTTATTGTTAAACCCAACTAAAAAAATTTTTTTTAGGAAATAATCTTGAAAAGAAGAAAAAACGATGAAGTAATACACTAATGATTATTTCCAAAATGATGGTAAGGTGAACATCTTTCAAAAAAGAAAGAAAAATCCTAAAATCTTATAAGGAAAAAAAAATTTGTTTAAAAAATGGCGGGAAAATTTATCGAATTTCGTTCCGGTTTTCTGATTTCCGGATAACGGGTTCTGTACTGTATTTGGTATTTAGCCTATACTGCTGAACGCAGAATATTAATTTTGGACGAATAATGCAAGAATCGTCTGCCGAAGACAAAATTTAATTCGTTGACATCCATCTTTCTTGTTTTTTACCCTGGAAAGGGTTTATTTGATTAACAAAATAATAATGAAGATAAAGAAATTTGTGAAGGGTCCGATTAAAAGAAAAATCATTTTGTGAAGGGTCCGTTTTTAAGTTAAAATATTTTGTGAAGGGTCTGTTAATGGACCCAAATTTCTTCTAAACAGACCCCTGATACCTATCTCACTTTTCCTTTCATTCACCTCAGGACTAACTGCTCTCTCTTTCTTGTTCCTTAGAATTGCTCTTACAGCACTATTTTTTATTTTATTTTTTAAAAAAAGGATTCATTTAACATTAAGTTTACAAGAGATTTACTTTGTCCCAATGCAATAGATTCAAGATTTGCCAGACCTGAACATAGACTTATTACTTTTTTTAGTCTCTTTACTTTCAGTCTGTCGACTGCTATCTACAAATATCTTGGGTTAAAGAAAGACAAACATGCTTATCCCACTCTTCCTTTCATTCACCTCAGAACTAATTGCTCTCTCTCTCTCTTTCTTGTTCCTTAGAATTGCTCTTCCAACACTATTTTTTTTTTTAAAGATTCATCTAACATTAAGTTTACAAGAGATTTACTTAGTCCCATTGCAATACAGTCGAACCTCATTAACGCAAAATTGGAGGGACTATCATAATTATTTCATGTCAACCAAATTTTGTTTTATCTGATTTATACATGTTATGCAGAGCTCATTGGGTAAACAGGGCGCAGCACCCTGCTGCCCTTTTAGTCAAAAGAATCCACCCTGTTGCCCCTGAAGTAAATTAGTGTCCTGATGTAATAAGACTTCATACCCTTTTTGCCCTTTCATTAAATCATAATTATTATTAATCATTTTAATTATTAAATCATAACTACAGACACTTAAAAACATACATTTATTATTTTATTAATATATACATGCATTTTAAATAAATTACCAAGCTAATTACCTCATTAACTCGATACATATGTTAATTTATTAATGAAAATTAGTAATTAATATGATTGCTTTGCTACTTTTAGTAAAGTAAAAAAAAAAATTTCTTTTACTAATTGGCAATGTTTTTAATAGAACGTGTAAAGCCCATGGAAAGAAATTATTGCCTTTTTAGAATAATAATGCCCTTTTTTTAAACTTTTGCACCTTGCCCTTTTTTCTGCCTAGAATGAGCTCTGTGTTATGTACTAATGTATGATTTATGCATGTTATGTTAATGTATGCCAGTGTTTCCCAAACTTATGTCTTCTGTGTACCCCTTCTAAATTTTTTGTAACGCTGTGTACCACTAAAAAAAAATGAATGTAATTTTTACTATAAAAAAATGCTCAAAAGTTAAAAATCACAACAAACCCTTAATTATTAACTGTTATCTCTGCAAAAAAAAGTAAATAAAAAAAAATACGTTATCGTAAATTTTAATGGTTAGCTTTGTTTTTAGATAAAATTTTGTGAAATTTTCGTTTGTTGCAAGATATTTCACATAAGAACGTGTACCCCGCTAAACTGTTCATGTACCCCTGGGGGTACGCTTACCACACTTTGGGAAACACTGATGTATGCAAACAATACTGTTATGGACCAAACAAATTAAAATAAGCTTAAAAGCTTTAAATACTTTATTAAACTATTTTATTAAACTATTTTATTTTTGCTATTTAATTTATTTGCCCATCTGATACTCTTAACAAAGAAAGAAAATAAAAATAGCATTCCTCAAAATGAATGATTAGGAATTTATTCACATGCTTATTATCTTTGCTGCCTCCAGTTTCCTTTCATGTTAAGGAATAGTCAACTTGAAAATGTCATGTTAAATACAACAATAATTTAATGCTGACTCGCGGGATTAAACATGTGTTTCATGTTAATGAGGTTCGACTATATTTTTTAATTTTAAGTTCAAATTATCTTAAAATGTCTAGGAATTAAAGATTTTAAGAACAAGAGTACCAACAGATGGTCACAATCTGCCAACTTTCAATACAGATAATGAACCTGGTGATTACACAAAATTAAAAAATATTACACAACTTTTGTACTGGTAAAATTTAGATCATGTTACTATTATCCATTATTTTTGGTGAAACTTAACAAACATAAAGAGCATATCAAACATAAATTCTTAACTTAACTTCAAAAATAAAGCTTATATTTTTTAAAACAAAGCTTTAGTTTCTACAAACTAATCTTTAGAAAAGAAAATGAAATTTATTTTACTTAAGTTTTCTTAAAAAATATATTTAAATGTAATATATCCTGATTAGTATTATCACAATAGCTTAATTAAGCTCATTTAATGCTTAAAAAAGAACATTCAGAATTAACTCAGTGGACCAACTATAGAGATAGAACTGTTAAAGTGTCTGCAAAATTTTCATATCTATGAAGAATTTAACTCAGATTTAATAAGATAAGAAAAAATATTAATATTTTACTAAACAAAAAATATTAAAGAAGATCTATACATTTTATACCTACTAAATAATGTACTGGATTATATTTTACTAAAAATATAAAATAATCTCAAGAACAATTTGAAAAAAAAAAATAATTTAAAGAAAACTTTAAATTTTTTAGAACTATAATGCAAATGCAATTACATTTAAATTTAGACATTCTTTAAATTAATTTAAAATAGTTATCTTTGATCTTTCTGCCCGTTTTAAATAATAATCATAATAAATATTACTTACTATTTGAAAACAAGAAACCTGTGTATAGTATTAGGCTGTTTAAGTTGGTTTGCACAAATGTTTAAATTTCAAAAACTATAGTTGTATAGAGCTGCCTATAAATTCTTGTGTATAAAATTTAATTGTTAAAAAAATTCAATTGCGCAAATTATTCTTATTTCTAAAAAAATATTATTTTTATATATGCATTAATAACAGTTATACATCACAATTTTTAATTAAAATTAATGAGTTAGTACTTTTTCTAAGATATATTATTTAATAAATTAAAATAGAATAGTTTTAAACTTAAAGAGCACTGTACGCGTCTACCATAAAATTATTCAAATTCGAAATGATACAACATAAATGACACAGATCAAAGATATGATATATATAATGCTTCAAAAACAAGTAACCTATACAGTATGTATTAGAAATTGGTTTGAGAAAAAGCTGAAAGATCGAATACCATAGTTCAAATTTGAAAGATGAGCAACGATAAATTTATTTGAAGCATACTAAATTTGAAAATAAATAAATAAAAACATAAAACTTAAAGATTTATTATGCTCTTTCCAAGTCAAGGTTTTGGAGGTCAATAACGGTAGAGAATATAAAATGAAAATTTTGCTTTGTGAGTAAACTGACATTTAAATGTACTAACCTTGTATGGTTTCTGCTACTTTATAAAATATAGACCGTTTCAATTTTTACACTGCATTGCTTGGTGGAATTTTAATTTGGAAAATAAATAGGAAAGTTATATTTAATCGAACTTCCAGGATCAGAAGTTATGTTGTTTACCTTTATAAAAAAACTTCGCAATCTTCGGTTACGTCATTTGTAACGGTTACCTAAAACAGTATATTTTAAGTTTTATTTTTACTAAGACTTTAACTTAGTAAAAAAGCGCAAGTTGATGTCGCACATGCAACACAGTATTTACTGCGTTTGCGTAAAAATTCAATGCATCAGATTGCTTGAAATTTGTTTGTTGTTAATATTTGAAAAGCACATATTTATGGCAAAAAAATTTCGACATCGAAAGAAACTGCTTTTAATCAAGATTAACATGTCTTTTTTCCAGAAGGGAATGCAATTCGCGATCGCAACACTCGAATACGCCATCTGGGGAGAGACCGGTTTCATGCCTTTAGCCCTTCTCCCTTCCCTCTCCTCCTCTTTTCAGTTGTATAGGAATGTACTACGATATTTTCCCCTTTCTTAATATTTTTCCTTTTTATTTAATAAAAATATTTTTTAAAATTTCCATGATACTTTTCTTTAGAACTATGTTTAATGTAGTTTTCAGTTCCATATAGTTTTTCAAGTTAAAAGATTTTAATCTATATGAAAATCAAGAGAGAAACTAACGTACTTCCTTCCTCTATGACTTTCCACACGCTATTGGGGAAAGCATGTGAAGTGTTGCCATAGGAAAAGAGTTCTGCTCTACGCCACCTGCAGCCCATTTCGATCGCCAATATGAAACCTCTGGAAGCTATCCTGTAGAAATCTAATATATTTTCGTGTTTTAAAATAATTTCTTAAAAAAAAAAAAAAAAAAAAGCTACATGTCTACAGATAATTGTCTTGCCAACTGAAATTAATACATTTTCTATTAGTGATATTTAAGTTGCATCATTTTGAATTTGATGGATCTTATGATAGACACAGTTGCATAAGTGTATAGAGATTTTATTTTAATTCGTTAAAAAATATATCGTTGAAAAAGTATAAACTTTTTAATATTAATTGAAATGAAGTGCGGTATAATTACCTTAGTAGTATCAAAGAACTTATACGCTTCGCGTATATAATCTTTAGTAGTATATATTAGAGCTACACAATGAGATATTGACGACGATCTGGAAAACAACCTTGAGGTTGTGTGTGTGTGCTGTTGTTGATCCGAAAACATATCACAATTTTCTTTCTCTTTGGTAGTCCGAAATGAAGCAATATTCGGTCTCTTCGAAAGTCGATGAAAGTGGTCACCCACCCGCTCAATCTACTATGGGGCCAAAATGATCTGATTTATAACTATTTCTGTGATGTTATTTTATTTAGAAGTGGGAATTAATTAATCATTTTTAAAAAACAGTTTTATGCACAGAAATTTATGAGTAGTTTTATTCAATTATTATAAAATAAAAAACATTTTTAATTATGTGGACTGCCTAAATGATTTTTTTTTTTTAAAATCCGAAATGATGTGTGGCAGGTCTAGAATTATGTTGTAGTTTTTCTACAACTTATTACCTTTTTTTAAAATAGATCATTAAAAATGTAGTAAACAATACGAAAATATAATATAATAGCATTAATCTCAAATAGGTAGGTACTTTATTTATGTCGCTTTAAGCTGCACAATAGGCTATTGGTAAATCTCACATAGATTTTACCCTAGAAGTATTTAAATTCAGTTTGTCAGTCAGTTTACATGTACTAAAGTTCTGTCATGAGCTGCAAAGCTATTGAAGTCTGTGTCAGACTTAGGTTAGGTCAATACTGCCTGTTTATTACACTTCCGGTCCAATCATTTTTAATAATGCTTTTAATTAAAAACTTCAATATTGCATTTAATTTAGTTACTTCTAGTTTTTGTCTATTAGTCACTCAAGATGCAAAATTGTTTAAAAATTTGATGAGTCTTGAAATTATAAACATAGTTTCTTTTAGATTGATTTTGGAAAATATTTTAAAAAATGAAGATTTAAAAATTCATTGTTATACATACTCCCTAACTAGTCATAATTAATTTATTTGTTCTATGTGTACTATTTTTTTCCCTCCTAAATATTTTGGGTGAAAATGCTTACATTTTAAAATATAAAAATTCTTTTTTTTTTTACAAAATTATAAAGAATAGGGGTAAGTTCCAGATTATAGAAAACAATATTAAAGTAAAAGGGCACTTTAGATTTTAGGGTTCTATCAATCCCTTAAAGTTGTCTTAAAATATAGATAACTTTAATCTTTCAATTCCTTTGAAAAACTTGCTTCATACACAAATTTGGATTCAGTGCTTGTTAGAATTAAATTAACAAATTGTAAATAAGTTGGACAGTCAAAACTTTTATGTATTAAAAAATTCACATTAGTAAAAATTAACTGCTCCTATCAATAATTAATAAAAATGAGACTATTTAAAAATAAAATACTGTCTATATTACAATTTTGACAGTTAATAAGAAAAAAAAGAGTAAAAATTTGGTTTGTTTTGAAAGCTGTATTCATAGGGAAAAGGAAAAACTGGGAGAAATGCTCCCAAAGAACAGTTGAAATCTGTATATAAAGTGTAGTATTTTTTTAAAAACTTATTAAAAAATAAATAAAGAGAATTCTTCTAAATATAGCAATTGATTTTCATATTAGTAGTAATTTTGAACAATGATTCAACTATTACTTTTACTATTTATATAAAAATCAAGTAACATCTTTGAACAAGTTTTAAATTTAGTGTTAATATCCATAATTAGGTAAAAAGAGATCATTTTACATTTTTATTAATTCCCTTGCATATAACTAGAACACTCAGACCTCCATACCTAATAAAATAGGAGTCTCAATTGTTTCTTAACCACAATGAGCAGAATTTTTTTGCCATATTATAGTGTAAGAATCAATCAAAATTCTGCCTACTTTCCGGAATTTTCAAATCTCTACATCGAAAAACAAACAATATAAATTTTAATTGTTTCATGACTACTACAAATACAATTTAAAGTTGCTATATGATTGCCAATAAGAGTTTTGTACCTGCTTAACAGGGTATGACCACGAAATCTTAATTTTTGATCAAAAGAAATGACAATACAAGTTTCAAACATTTCCTGACAGCTACAATCAGAATTTATCATCACTCAAAACTTTGAGCACAGAAAGTTTATATTTTAATTACAGATATACGCTGTATGCCAATATAGAAAACAATTATTTTCTGAATGGTAAAAGCAAAATTTATCATTTATATTGTTAAAGAAAACTTCAATCTATTTCTGACATAGATAATTAACAAGGCCAGGATAGCCTGGTTGGTAGGGCACTGGACCCATGTCCGAGAGTTCGATCCCCACCGGCCGAAGACTCCCCGAGTAGTAAATGGTGACTGATGCATGTTAAATCTGTCGAGTCGCAAAGTCCTCCATGTTTCCCTAACAAATCAACACCTCTGGAGGTACTAATCCAGGAGTTTCCGTGTCTTCTGGATTGATTTAAAATTACAAGGCTACGGAGTTGAGCATTAGTAGTCGTAAACCCAAAAAATTGGGGCAGCTGTTCAACGACGGATATAAAATAAAATAAATAGTTAACAGACACAAAACAAAAATTCTAAAACATTAAGAACTATGCTATTCAAGTAAATTGAGAAGGATATTTCAGCCAGATCCAAAATTAAAAACATTGAGTGAATCATTTTGGTATTTAAATTTGATACCAAAGTTTCCTTGTTATGTTATTACACTTATACAGTTAGGCCCTATTAGTTTTCCTCTTTAGATGCACAGAACATTGCTTCCTTCTGTGTTTAACTATAAAAGTTTTTATTTCAATACATAGACATTTGATCTATTTGAAAGCAAGAATTTGAAAAATGATCCTAGATTTCATATTTGTTTCCTTTCAAACTAAATTGTTCATTTCACATTTGAATAGTTTTTTAAAAAAAAAATCTGAACAATTTGATTTAGGTTTATAAATTTAGAAGACCATATGTATATTTTACCTAATAACATAATTTTAAAATTCAAAGCTAAATTAATTTCTTAAGTAAAGAACACTTCATTTAAAACTTGAGTGTACAGTGCAATTTCCAAATAAAAATTAAAGTTCATATTATTTGTAATAATAAATAATATAAAATCACCTTTTTGTTATTTTTTTAACAAAAAAAAAAGATCATTAAGAAATAAACAGTCAGTCAAGCTATAACTCATAAAAAAATTTAAAAGTTAACACTATCTGAAAACAATAGTTAATTTCAATCGATATAACTGAAAGGTTTAATTTTATAAGAATTTCTATTTTAAATATGTTCATTTACAGTTCAGTCAAATTGCATAGCTTAAGAATCTTGGACAAAAATGAGCTAATAAAAGGTCTCACAAAAAAAAAAAAAAAAAAAAAGGCGCAGCCTGAATATGACAATGATATGCCATTGGTTTGTTTGAACTCTAAATTGGTAATTATTCTGTCACAGTTTCAAATTTAATTTTCCGTTTTTGTTTTGAAGTTTTATAAAAAGTTCAAGTAGTAGATTAAATTATTTCTAGCCCCCTCTAAGTAGTATTCAATGCAGTTGCACTAATAAAGGTTATTGATTACAAAGCAGTATGATAAAAAAGGATGTAGCAGGAAAAAAAGTCAGCTGCTTTTCAGTAAATATTGAAATTCCTTGTTCTTGAGCTAAACAATAAATATGCAGTGTTAGAGATTAAGACCAGTTCCTATAACTAAAAGATAGTACTTAAGTCTGTTTACATTTTGGGGGAGATTTCTGTATTGTGATCTGTGGCAGAATAATTGACAAGTCTTGGCAACTTCTATATAGCGGTCGGCGAGAAACTAAAAGAAACATCACAGAAGGGGTCCAACTTAGAACTCGTAGCCACCCCCGGCAAACATCTACATGTTTTTTTCTAAATTACAAGTTTAAAATCTATTTGGCACCTTGGTGATTGCAGCAACAGATCATGATATGGAAATATAACCCTATATTCTCAGTTGATGGATTACATATATCATTTGATTCTCAATAAAGTTAATAAATGGCATTTAAATAAAAAATTAACAATGCACAATAGGCGTATTGAAATTTTACAGACATATAACAGAAATTAAAAATCAAACCAATGTAGCACATAATGTTTTTAAGATCACTGCCTTAGTTGGTTTCGGACCAATGTTAATTTCGAATCCTGATGCATAAACCCCCCAAAAAATATAATAAAAAATTTAATTATTTCCCAATTAAAAGTTATGATGTTTAAAAAGTGATATCAAAAGATAAAAAAAGGTTTCATTTATTTAAGATTAAATTATCAACATTACTAAAAAGACAAGATTCAAAAATTTTAAACAAACAGTAGTCAATGCAAAATCACAAGTTTGATGGGGGGGGGGAGGAGGAAAAATGAACAGTAGATTAAATTAAAGAAAGGCACTTTACATATCAAAGTAGATTTAATCATGAGAACAAGCTGAAAATTTGTTACACATCTTAACACATTTAATAATCCAATACACATCATTTCTTTTGTTTCTTCTTTTCCGCAGCTTCATCTTCTTTTTCCTTTTCAATCGCTGACACATAATCACTGACTGCCTTGGCATCCAGTATAGTTAAGGGAGTACCCTTTTTCATAACAGCAACTTCTAAATTCTTGCCCTGAACGACTTCCAGCAAAGCTTTAATGGCTAGTTTGATTGTAGACTCATCTTGAGCAATAATTTCCTCGGAATAATTCTTTTCAAGATATTCTCGGACGGTTTTGGAGCTCCTTCCAATGGAATTGGCCTTCCACTCATGATATACTCCTGACGGATCTGTTTGGAAAAGGTGGGGTGTACCGTCGAAATCGAATCCGGCTATCAACGCTGATATGCCAAATGGTCGCCTACCGTTACTCTGCGTATATTTTTGTTTCAGCTGAGCTATATGTCTGGTTATATATTCCAAAGTCACAGGATCTTCAACTGTCAATTTGTGGCTTTGGCATTCCACACGGGCACGGTCAATTAATATGCGTGCGTCAGCTGTTAAACCTGCAAAAGCCATCACTACATGATCATCAAGAAGACAAATCTTTCTCATGGTACGCTCTTCTTGAAGTTTTGCCACAGATTTTTTTTCTACAGCGAGTACAACTATTGCATTACCGCATACTCCAACAGCAGTTGAACCTTTTTTGACGGCTTCTTGGGCATATTCTACTTGGAACAAATGACCATCTGGAGAGAATACAGTGATGGCACGATCGTATCGTGAGGTACCCATGTTTTTCGATTATGACAAAATTAAAAAGCACTACTCAAAACTGTTATTTGAATACTGAAAATATTCCACAATGACTTTTCACTTTTCTCAAACAAAACAGCAACTAACCGGTTATAAGAGAAGGATACAGTTAAGATGTTTACATTTTTTTCTGAAAAGTTGAAAGGACAGTAAAAAGACAAAAAAAAATGATGAAATGCTTTAAAAATTCTTTTTATTGCCCTTTTTTATAATTTAATAGATATTTATAGTAAAATTATTCCTAAATATATTATTGCTATAATCTGGCCTTTTGGTTTTAGAAGTGGTCTGCTGAAGTGCGTTCTGAAAGATAGTACCAAGAATCTGCACAAGAAACATAATTCGTAAATGTTGTAAAGTCCAAATGATTACACTAAGCAGATTAAACCGTGGAGACGAAATTTTATAATTTTTGGTGCTTTTCCTCTTTATCATATTTTTCATTGTTTATTTACATTCGACTAGTTTTGGTTGGTGTATTGTTTTTATGTAATGTAATGTTTCATTATTATGTAAATAACTATTTGAAAATTTAATTAAAGATATTCCTATTTTGATTACGTACTAATTATCAGCACCGTAAGCTACTGAAGTTTTAGAATTAAAGCTGTTAAAATAATTTTTACTATGTCATCTCTACGACCAGTTCCGAAATTTACAATATTAGATAAACCATTGAGTAGAGCAAGATCTGAGGTATTCTTGTCTATTTAATTTATTATTTGCTTCTTGTATTAAGAATTTTTCTACCTAAATTCCTTTACCAGGATTTTTGCACAACTGGTCTTTTGTCCGTTTCTGGGGTATCCAGAAATGTTTTACTGATGTTTAGATATGTTTTCTGGATAAAAAAAGCTGTACAATTTAATGTGCATGAATGCAAGAAGTGTTTAGCCATAGAAAACTATTTACAACCGTTGACGTGAATAAGTATTGGTACGGAAATATCCCCAAATGAAGTGCAGAATTGTAATTTTATAAAAGCAATGTCTAATCGAGAAATGTATCGATATTCTGTGCTTTGAACCATTTTTAATCTCAGTGTATAAAAGAAGGACCATGTATAAGAAATTATAAGAATTCTAATTAACACTTAACTTGATTGTTGAGGTTTTATCACGAATGTTGAATATTCGAAATATTTTGATTGCAAGTTATTTGGTGATATTAAGTGCCAGCATAATAGTAACTAAAAAGAAAATATTTCGTGGTATTCAATAATTTTAAATCCAAGCACAATTGCTTAACTAATTTATTTTTGTATTTTGTAAAATAGTATCGATATGACAAAAATAAATAGTCTTAATTTTTTGACCAGGTTATAAGTAATTTCAGTATTAATAGGTGAGATTATGTCATATATCTATCACTTAAATAATTACTGTTTAAAATAATTTGGTATGCAGACATAGTTATGCAACCTATTTATAAATTTCTTATTGCTTAATTAAAGAATTGGATTAGGAATTCTGTTTGAAAAATTAACTCTAGATTATCTGAAAAACATTGTTTTATTCAGCATCCTTCCCCTTTGTGGATAAACATATCTGAAGAGAAATTCTGGAAGAAATTTTTTTCTACAGTTATTATAATAATGTATGCAATGTTTAAATCAAAAGTAATGCAATGTAGTGGATAGATATGTATTTGTTCTAATTTTTTCCCTCCAAACATTGAGCTTCTGGGCAAAATTGTGCGAAATTTTCCTGCTACACCACACTATTTTCCCATTCAATAACAAGGAGCAACCAGTGTTTTGAAGCAGGAAAGTATCTAGAAGTCTAGAAACAGATGGGATTAACGCTCAGAAGTTTAAGGCTATACCAAAGGTGGATTTAGAGATTGAGCTCACCTTAAATAAATCAAATAATGATGTATGCAGACGTAATTATTTTAAAAATATTTTCAAAAAAATTGTAGTTATTTGAATGTTTAGGAAAAAGTCGCCATGGACACGAGGCTACGTGTGGTTGAGGCAGCCAAGGCCTGTGAGGGGCTGTCGTGCTGAAGAGGAAGGAAGGAAAAATTTCAATATAAAATATTAATTTATTTTTACTTTTATAGAAATATATCTGATGTACCCTAAATTTCAAGATTTAAAAGTCTTTAGATTATAAAAAATGAATGATAATAATTATTTTTTAGTAGATCAAATATAATAAATCAATTAGTTGTTGATTCTAAAGCCATTTGCCAATATGAGCAAGTCCGCTTGGTGAAACAAATCTAAGGCAGAGGGTGTATTTCTTATTTTTCAGCGGGACCATCTATGGCCAAGAGTGCAACTTCAGCCACCCTCACGTCTGAGCCCATTTGTAGGATAGGCCCATTCATACATATATTAATTCATCCACAGATCATAATTTTGACCTGAACCAGAGAACGATCAATCTCAAATTCCGTATCCCCAGAGGTATTAATTTGTTATGGCAACATGAGGGACTGTGTGACCTGACAGATATAACGTTCACCAGTCATAATTTACTATAGGGAGAGTCTTTGGCCGGCGGGGATCGAGCTTACTACCTCTTGGACATGGGCCCACTGCCCTACCGACCAGGTTATCCCAGCCCCAATCAATTAGTTAAAAATATCAAGGCTAAATATAATGTACTTGACATGATACAAACTCAATAGTTATAAAGGGGGATTAAATAAAATTATTAATACTTGAAATACCTTTGTCATTTTGCTAATGAAGGAAAAAGAGAACAACTTGATTTTATTAAAAAAACATTTTTGATTCGAAAAACATAAAGGACTTAATTTTATAATGAAAAAAATTACAGACATTGCACATTTTTGCTGATAGTTTATATCTTTAATTTTATATTTCCATAAAATTAGGTATAATTATCCATAATAAACAGATGTTCATGGAATTGTTTATTAATTGTTGTTTTCTTTTTATTTCAGATAAATATTAGTACATTTGCTCTTTTATTTTCTGAGATGGTTCAATATTGTCAAAACAGAGTCTTATCTGTACCAGAATTGCAGACTAAGTAATATAATTTAGATTTTTCTTTCTACTTGAAATACATATTTATATGAGATATTTTTTGTTCAAAAATATTCATAAAAATTGCAGTTCATGTTTCTATTAATTTCAAATGTTTTATGTTTGTAGTTTTTATATCACTTTCATATTGCTAGTTCTTCTGTCATATCCAGTAACTTAATCCTTTGACCAGAAAGCATTTGAATACATTTATAAGGAATTTTTCTTCTTTATCAAGGGACAGTTTCAATAGTTTTATACTATAGGGATATGGAAGTGTTAAAATCTTTAGATCTTGGTAATAATGTTCATGCAATAATGATATGATGTTCTTGTCAATGTATAGTTTAAAAATAAATGTTTAAAATGTGTATACACTTTGTATTATGGAGGTATATTTACTATATTAATTATGTACTTTGTATTATAAAGTAATATATTTACTTAATAAATTAATCATGTACTGGCATATCATTTTTTTAAAATTCATTAAAGAGTACAGTTTAGATTGTATTTCTGCTATTGATTGCTGGGACAAATAATAAAAATCATTCAGCGATTTATTAGTTTATTTTATTAATTCAGACCGAAAAATAAGTTATCCATAATTAAAAAAATTTCTTTATCAATTATATAACAAATATAATGTATGAATATTATTTCTGCTATAAATTAATGAATGCTCTAATTTTTTACAAAATATATATTCCAGTGTATTTTGAATGATTAAAATAAGCTACTATCTAACACATGATCAAGAAGGTCAAGTTAGTGTACTTGCACTCCCATTAGAGATGAAATAAACTAAAAATAATATTTTATTTTTGAGAGTTGCTGTCAATTTAGTCATCAAAGAATACTTTTTGTTAAATATGTTCAGTTCAGTATTGTGTGTATGCTGAAAAATGCACAAATGGCAGAAGAACATTGCATTATTGGCAGTTATAAATTATGATATTTCTACTATATTACAAATTATTTTATTTATAAAAAATATGAATTTCATTTATTTTCTCTGTACCAATGTTTTAAAAAAATTAGTAAAAGTATAGCTAAAAGTGAGAGAAGTATGTATGTGGCATTTACTAAAAAGTGAACTTATCATCGAAAAAAAAAATTCCATCTATATTGGGAAGGTATGAGTTTGTGTCCTTTTTTAAAATTATGACACTTGACAGACTTGTAAGTTGATCAACGATTAACAAAGATACAAGTGCAATAAAATATGTATATGACTGCAAACCTGCTTCCTTTTATGCCAGTCATTTCAAAATATTTTTCGTTTTGCATATTTCCTACTTCTAGTATTCACTAGAGCTGGGGCGATGCATCAATACCTTTTAAATATCTTGATAGTGATATATTAAAATATATATTCTAATGAATCGTTTTCCACAATGGATATTGATTTTAAGCTAATTAACAACTATGATAATGTTGTGATGAATATGAACAGCAAAAATAATTGAATGCAGTTTTATTGGATCATAGTTTAACATGATCATTGTTAATAACAACATTTGACAAATATATTTATATAGTTGAAATTATCTTATAAATATCACAATAATTATTACAAGTGATCATGTGTGTCGATTCTGATTTATTTTTTTTTTAGTAAATAATTTTTTAAAGCTATGAACAATTAAAAAATTTAAGAAAATGTTTTTTTTTTTTTTAATTTGGGTAGTAAAAATATTGTTCAATGACAAAATAGCATAAATAAATTAAATTTAACAAATGTGAAATCAAGAGTTTTGACAATATACAACGATATCAAATCCGACTCACTCTTTCGATACTAGAATAGTACTCACCTCTTCACATCTTACCAATGTGTTTTGATGATTTGTTTGTCTTTATTTATTAATCAACTTTAAATACCTTTTTATTTCAGGTTGTCTGAAATGGGCTATCATGTTGGGCAGAGAATGGTTGATACCTTATTTGTGCGTGAAAGAAATTTCAAAAGAGAAACAAAGCTTTTAAATATTTTAATATTTATCAAGACTACTTTGTGGAAAGTAAGTCGAAAATGAATGCTGTTTCTTTATATAAATGCATATAGATTTTAAATGATATTTATGGTTTTAATGTAATTTTAGACTCTATTTGGTAAAGAAGCTGACAAACTGGAACATGCCAATGATGATAAGAAAACATGTATCCTTTGTTTTTATGAAAATATTTTTTATTTTTTCAATGCAACACAATTTATTGATTTTTAATTTAGTATTTATATTGCATATTATTTTATGTAAATATTTTTGATATGTTATCACTCATGTAAGTGTGGTATAATTATTTTTCTGAAAGAATTTTTTATTTATTTTTAAATTTTTACATATTAATTGAACTAAAATGTAGTATATATTTATATTGCATATTACTTTTTTGTAAATGGCGTATTTTACTATGTTAGAGTTCTTGTTAATGTGTTAAGATAAAGTAAACTTGTAAATGTGTTAACATAAAGTTCTTATAAATATTGTATGTAGGAAAAATATTAGTTTATGTAATTTATTTTATTTTAGGCAAACAATTGAAATCTTTGTAGTTTGTTTTTCAATCTCTTAAATACGAAAACTGTGACAGTTACATGTTTTAAACTTGTAGAAACCTTGTACCTTGTAAATTGGAAAAACTTATTTTCTTACACCTAGTACTAATAACTCCAACATACATGGTTTTTTAATTGGGTAATTAATAATTATGGAAAAAGAAAATATCGAGTTTATGCAAACTTATGAAGTCTTGTTAATTGGCTTAAATTGTTTTTACACTTTCATAATTGTTTTTCTCTTAATAAATTTATTTTCATTGTATTTTACTAGCCATAGTGATGGGAAAAGTTATCCCTTAATGTTATTAAAAAAACAAAACATTCAGGATTAAAGTTATTCTCACAAAATGTAGCTAGTTATTAAAATTCTTTTAAATAAAATTTTTTATTAAAATTTAAAAAAAAAAATTGTTAAACATTTCTTATGTTATAGAAAATTACAATTTCTATCACATTTTCAAACTAATAAAATAGTGTGTGTTTGTCAAAGTCTTGTAATTTATTAATTTTATTAAAACTTATTATTTTTTTTGTCCTAGTATTTAGTTATTGTCTTTAGATTTGAATTTATTGTTAATAAGAATATTTTTTTGTAGCATTTTAAGTTACAAAATTGTTCTGAAGAGCAAAAACTATTGTTTGTACATTTGAGTTTCTCTGAGATTAGATTGAATCTATATTTTTAATTAAAAATTTCAGATAGTATTAAAATATTTTCCAACATTTAATATGCAGTTGCCATTTAACACAACATTTTTTGTCATCTATTCTATAAAATAAATCTACTCAGTTTACAGTTTCTCTTGATTGCAGATTACATAAAATTCTAGAAACTTAAAAGCATTTTATGAATTTTTTAAAGATACTTTTCAGATAAGTTGACTATTTGTATTGTGTCTTTATTGAATCTCGACAAGACAAAAAATAATTGAATGTTTTGAAAATTTATCTTATAAGCTAAATTTTTATTATGTCCTAATTTAAATAAACTTAAAAAATTGAAAAACATCTACGAGTGCCTAACTGGAAAACATTTTTGCATGATATTAGTATTATGACAAGTAAATTATTATTGTAGTTTTATCTATTTTTAAATAGATAATAATCATCATCTTAGGTATAATGTTTAATTTATATTTGTTATAAAATTTATTTGGTATTCAAAAGTATATTCACTATCTGAATCATTCAGAACTTTATGGAAATTATTTATTTTAAAATGACAATGTTCAAAACTGAATTTCTTTTAGTTATATATTTTTTTGTATTAAACCTTAATTTATGCTAGATTTCATCATCGAAAAAGATCCACTGGTCAACAAATTTATATCCATTCCTAAAGATAAAGGTTATTAACAACTTTATTACTTTTAATTAAGAAATCATTTTTATTTCTTTGGATAAAAAGATAACCTTAAATTAAAATCAGAAATCTCAAAAATTGCTTTTATATATTATAACAATCATTAATTTTTTAGTGTCAAAATTATTAAATACTAATTTTTATTGCCCTTAACATATTTAATAGAAAAAACTTCCCAATACTTTTAAGATTCATATTAATTAAACAAAAATTTTGATGATGTAACATCGTAACTTAAAAACATATTTTAAGTATAGTTCACTATTTAGGTTCTAAAAGACCTAGTAAAAGATCTAGACATGACGTAATAAAAAAAAGTTATTAAAACATTTTAATAATCTATTTTTTCCCTATAATTTCTAATTTTTTTAATTGCGTATTGGAATTTATTTGTTTGTGTATATCTATGTATATATATTATTATTATTTTTTTCAACAACTTTGGTTTTTGACAACATAAATTTAATCCTGGTTACTTTATATACATCATTTAAGCATTTATTATCTAATATTCATTAGCTATAGATTTTTTCTAATGTTTAATGCTTGCTTCCCAGAAATCATAAACAAAAACTTGTTTTTTATTTTATTAAATAAGAAAGTAGTATTTTAACAGGGATATTTTTAACATTCTCCACAGGGTGGTGATCCTTGTTGGGTTTAGAAAATATTTAATTGGGCATCACTTTATTTTAATATCTATTATCTTATTTACATTAATTATAACAATTATGAACTGTATGGTTTCTAATTAAAATGTCTTATTTTGAATTTTTGATAACAAGTACCATCTTGGTTAGCTTCTCCTCTTTTTGTGACCTATCTAACTAAATTTAATTAATTTTTTTTTGTTAATTTAGATGAGAATTATTACAAATTCAAATTATATCTGTTATACATATTGCGAATTCAAAATATATTTGTTCTACATCACTAGTCCTGTTAAATGATGAATAATATGTCTTAAACAGTGTGTCATAATCAGTTTAGTTTTTGGAGGGGATAATAAATGCCAGAAATGTAACAATTTCATTTCTATTAAGTCTCTTAACTAATTAGATGTTTGCAGAATTAGATTCCATAAATTTTTCCGTGTAAAGAACTATTTCAAAATACATATTTTGTATGTTTATTTCATTTATATACTCTCTATAGTTCTGTTTTATCGTGAAAATATTTATTAAGTATTTTTTTATATGTAAAACATTCATGATATCACTTCTAGAAAGATCTAAATTCTTTGTCTTCTTATCTTGAAGACTAATTACTTCTGTTAGAGTAGTTTACAACCTCAAATTTTAATGCACTTATGATTTAAATAATGAAAAAAAAGAGGTATTTATATATGTATGAATTGGTTTCTATATTGTAATTCACTATGAGCTAGGGATGGCATTTGAAGATCAAAAGGAAAGAATGGTTATGTAAAAATTATGATTAAACCACCATTTGTTGTAATTTGGGGATTACTAAGTTTTGACAAGTTAATAACATAGAAAATCTGCTCCGTAAATATCGGTTGTACTGTGGAAAAACTGTTCCTGTTTATGTGCTTCTGTCGCTTTTTCTCAGAATCAGCTTTCTTGGACCATTATTCTCCTTTGATCTTCATTTGTTTACTTTGGAAATAGTTTTTAAAAAAAATTAGAAAATGCTAGGTTACACAATAGCATTCAAGAGAGGAATAATATTGTTTGATTCAAATTAAAAGTTTCAAGTTACTATTTTATTATAAATATATAATTATTTATTATAACTTTGAAAATTAGTTCCTTTTTAATGGTTATAAATGAATATTTTCTGCCAAAGATTAGTATGTATTCCATATTGTATTAAATGATAGTAAAAATTAATGTTTTTATGTTCTATATCTTCCACATAACAGGTACAATTAATTTTTTTAAATTATCCTTTTTACTTAAATTTTAGAACATGCTATTTTATAAAGTGATTTTTGAAAAGATTTAGCAATTGGTACATAAAATTTTAAATGAGAATTGTTCAAAATATATCAAAATTTTGTTAACCTTTTTTTTGTTTTGTTTGTCTGAGATGAAAAAGTGTCATGATTACACTGTGTTGAAAAAAAGTTATAACAGTTTTAAAAAAAAATCTTATATTGTTTAACAAACTACCCAAAATCCAATATAACTGCTTACTGTGTTTGTACACTTAGTAATAGTGTTTAAATTTTGTTTAAAATGAATTCTACAAAAATAATTTTTTTTTTTGAAAATTATTAAATAGATTTTTAGATAACACCAGTAAAAAAGTCACATACGTGATATATTGTTGACCATCTAAAAAATTTACTTTTTTTGAAAAAAAATGTTTTATTAAATTGCATTTAAATTATCTAAACATTTTCATTAAAAATTAGCTCTTTGGTGTTCCAAAAACAAAATAGAAATAACAATACATGTTGTTTTAATATAAGCTAATTTGTATTTACATGAATATGTTGTTGTTTGTCCCCTGGTAAATTAGAATAAAATATTATTTTAATTAAAGTTATTTATAAAGCTAATTTTTATTTAAATAAATATGTTGTTTTTTGTCCCCTGGTAAATTAGAATAAAATATTATTTCTATTAAAGTTATTTATAAAGCTAATTTTTATTTAAATAAATGTTGCTTTTTGTACACAGGTAAATTAGAATAAAATATTATTTCCATTAATGTTATTTTAATTTGTCAAATAATTTTTTAATAGGAACTTTAAACTGTGCTGCTTTCATTGCTGGAATTATTGAAGCAACTCTTGTGTGTTGTAATTTTGTGAGTATTTTTTATTTATTGCTGTAAAAAGTCTTCACTCAATTAGAGTCTTTGAAAAAATTAAAAGGCAATTCTAAAACGAAAGTAATATTTAATAATAAAGGATGTTTAATATCTTTTATTTACGTTAAATATTACTCAAAATAATTAGTTCAGTTTTTAATATTTTATGTATCATAAAGACCTTCACAAAAACTCATTTTTACTTTATCTTTTTTTAATTAGTTAATAAATTTTTTTTATAAATACCCGATTATAGATGAGGTTATTTTCCTTTTTAATTGTAATACATATTTTTAATTTATAACATTTTAAAAAGATTTTTAAAAAAAATTTGAATATATGTTAGGCAAGAATAGGCAAAGTGATTATTCTAAGTTTATAAAATTTTTTACAAATGCCTTTTCTATTTACAAAATTATTAAAATATGTAATTGTTTTTCTAAAACTGATACACAATTTGAAAAATCAAATAAGGAAAAAATTCGGGAGATAGAAAGATATAGTTTGTTTCTTTCTTCTTCTGAAAGGTTTTGATTATATTTCACTTCCTTCTGTTGAGAGAAGGTACTGCTGCATGAGAAAAACTATCAAACAATATTTTCAAATGTGCAATTTGCAGTAACGTGATGCCGTCTGTTGATGAAAATAACTGACACCAGTGCAAAAATCTCATTTGAACTGATTGTCATGCCACAGAAAATATTGTTTTATGGTGTTTTTAGTCAGAAATGCTATTTGTTGATGTGCTTTGTTGAAGTTATTAATTTTGAAACTAGGTAAGAATTAGTTCAAGTAATTTCATAATAATAAACCAAATTATTGAATAAATAATCGATTATTGGTTGAATACAAACCTATTACAGGTTTCAAAAATCACTACTGGTTAAAAAAAAATTCTTACTCAAGAAACCAAGGAACTTTTCTATGGAATACTAGTGCTCCGTGGAACACTTTTTGGGAACCACTGTCCTTTAGGACAGTGGTTCCCAAAAGGAACCGTTTATCCAAAAAGGAACCATTTACCCAAAAGTATCCGTTTTATTTAATTAAACAATGGCGACAACACTATAATGAGGTACGAATTCAAGCGGCTACTCTATTTGCCTTTTTAGTACATATATGATTTTTTTAAAAAATCTTTTCCAATAAGATAGTTAATAAGATAAATATGTTTCAAGACGAAAATTATTATATGTTGAGTTAATGAATGGTTAATTAAAAATTGAACTGTTTTTACTACAATTTGTTATCTGCTGTCTTAAAGATTACGTTTCTATTAAAATTTTCTTTTAGCCAGCAAAAGTTACTGTCCATTGGCATAAAGGAACAACTTTCAAAATCCTATTTGATGAGAGTGTTGTTGCGCGTGAACCAACTTTGGAAGGGAAATAACTTATTAGTATTGAATCTGTAAATTGTTTTGTGAAATTTGTGTTGATAAATTGTGTCAAATAAATGTTTAATAAATCTACTTATATTGTTTTTGTTCTTTTTTGACCACTGCATTCGGTAAAGTCCAATGACACTTCTGGTACTTTCTGTAACTCAATATTTAATTAAAGTGAACATTATTGGGGTGACCAGAAATAACTTGAACACATATTATGCAGAGTTTTATATTTATTAAAAAAATGCAACCAAACATTCAAATAATAATGGAAGTAATACTATCAGGGGTCTGTTTAGAAGAAATTTGGATCCGTTAACGGACCCTTCACAAAATATTTTAACTGAAAAACGGACCCTTCACAAAATATTTTAACTTAAAAACGGACCCTTCACAAAATATTTTAACTTAATAACGGACCCTTCACAAAATGATTTTTCTTTTAATCGGACCCTTCACAAATTTGTTTACCTTCATTATTATTTTGTTAATCGAATAAACCCTTTCCAGGGCAGAAAACAGGAAAGATGGACGTAAACGAATTAAGTTTTGTCTTCGGCAGACGATTCTTCCATTATTCGTCCGAAATTAATATTCTGCGTTCAGCAGTATAGACTAAATACCAAATATTTGTATGTTGCATCTCTAATTTAGAAGCAGCAATTATTGTTTATTTCTTAAAATTTAATTTTTTTAATTATAATTTTACAGTGTTGAGCATAATCTTGTATGTCTTAACAATTTAAAAACTCCTAGAAAAAGTTTTTTTTTTCTGCAATAACGGACCCTATTTGCACAAATTCATAAAAGCGGACCCTTGTTGAAAGAATGTGAGTAATTTTTTCACAATTTCACGAAAAACGGACCTTTCACAAAATGTCTGGACAGACCCCTGACTATATTTATTGTAATTAAAATTGGCGTCTCAATATCAAATTTTTTACCTTCACCGTGGTAACGAAGTGACAGGCAGCAATTTTACTCTAAACTGGTGGACAAAATTAAGGGATGGAAAGCATTTTCGCACATGCAAGATATCCGCACACCGCTCCACGTGTTTGACAATGGTTCCGTGAATGCCCAGAGGTACAGGCAGGAGGTCCTAGAGCCCTATGTGTGTCTTTTCAAGGGCGCTGTTGGCCCTGAATTCATTTTTTTGGACGACAATGAGCGACCACATAGAGCTCTCATGGTTGATGAGTATCTGGAAAGCGAGGATATTCAACGAATGGATTGGCCGGCTAAATTCCCTGACCTGAATCCTATTGAACATGCTTGGGATGTTCTTGGGAGAGCTATTGCGATGCGCCAACCTCCCTCCAGAACTATTCTGGAGTTAAAAATTGCTCTGGTGGAAGAATGGGAGGGTCTTCCACAAGTCTTCCTTAATTCCCTTATTAACAGCATGCATACTCGTTGTGCATGCTGTCTGTCTGTCAGGGGTGACCATACACCATACTAGAGACAACACACACTGTACAAGCCTCACTTTTATTGTCATCTTTTATCCTTAAGTTCAGACTACATTGGATTTTTTGGCAATAGGTCTTGCCAGTGAATGGCAGTTTCATTTTTGTTTTGCATACTTTATTATTATGGAATAAGCTATATCCATACCAAATTTCATTTATTTATATTCTGTATTTTTTGAGATATTTGGGAAAATGTCTTCCATCTCTTTAATTTTGTCCACCAGTGTATTTATTCATCAGGCAGTTAATTCATAACGGCTTATTATTATAATAATAACGTACTGTTTTTTTTTTGTTGGAAAAAGCGAGGGGTAACGGAGAGAGGAAAAAAGGGGTAATTGCGTAATGCTGCAATTCCTCTTCTATTTGCAAAGACTATAGTAACAGATTTATAAGTTTTCATACCTTTTCTTTTTTAGCCTCAATGCAGAGTTGTAAACATATATCTATAATGTCTAATCATTAGATATTATAATCTAATGAAAAGAAATTTTTTAACGATATTAAAGTCATGGTGTTTAGCAATTACCTTCCCAAGATGGGCCAAGCGGAAAAAAATCCATTGGATTCAAGTCTGGTGAATAAGATGACCATTCATGCTCACTAAAAAAGTTTAAAAAAATGTGTGGTTGTTCCTAATGCTACTTACCAATACCCACAAGCCTGCATTGGAAATCGATTTTTATGGTTCGAAAGAATTTTTGTGGCAGAGGGCGCGTTTCTTGTTTTTTTCTATGTGGATAAGAATACGATTTCAGCCACACACACGTCACAGCCCGTTTTTCAGGGATGACCAATCATACTTCATTCATTTATCCACGGATCGTAATTTTGACCTGATTCAGAGAACGATCAATCTCCACTTCAGTCCCCCAGAGGTATTCATTTGTTATGGTAACTTAGAGGATTTGTGACTCTGGCAGATTTAACGCGCACCAGTCACTATTTAATAAACGGCGGGCAGAAGAAAATGTGTCTTGAACTATTCTTGAGTGCTTCTAGTTTTGTGTGCTGATGCAGTTTCGCGATTAAGCAATTTTAACATCTTTTTAAAATGAGTTATTCCTTGGGATTCACTTCTTTGGTTTGAATCTTAATCTAGTTTATTTCTCGTTGATTAAACTATGCAGACCCAAATCTACACACTTAAATGAGCTTAAATCATATTTTATCTAAAATTTTAAAACTGAAATAAGATTATAATTAATAATTTAAAAGCTTTTAGTTTAAAGTGCAAGTTATAGAAATGCTTTAAAGCAATAAATATTTAATTAAATTACCATGTGGCGGTCATATTTGAAGGGTATGAAAAATAATTTCCCTGGTGAGAATTGCGTCCGATTTTCGGCATGAGGTATTAAAAATGTAAAACAGCTTCTGTTTCAATTTTTTAAGGGTTAATATACTTATGAAAATACAACTAAAAGCCTCCTAAAATTCCTGATTTACCAATGTTGTTTTGTTATATCCGAAAAAAGAGATATTTGTAATAATGATCGAATGTTCTGAAATCAGAAAAAAATTTATATTTTTTTAATTACGGTCAGTTTGAATTTAAATTATGATTAATTTTAAATTCTAACAAGCATGTGGTCGAGTATTTCAGATGAAATTTGCATTTTATAGTTTGCACGAAAGGATAGACCATCATAATAATACTTGTAAACATCATTGACATGTTTTGAGTATATAACTATTTGTTGTCTAAAAATGGTACTTAATATTTTTTTTTCGTATAAGTTTTTAAGATTTAATAAGTTTTCGTATAAGTTGAAAAGGAATTATAAAAGCCCTATTTATCTGGCCGCGATGTTAGGAGTGCTCTTTTATTATTTTGACAAACTTTGTCGAATGAGTGAAAGGAAAGCTTCGTTGAAAAAAAGGTTAAAGTGTAGTGGATGTTTGATTGCGAATAAAAGAGGCAACACTTTAAATAACTTTTGTTCTAAGGGTTGGGCCAATCATAATGATTCAAAAACGTGGCCTCACAAAGATAAATTTACTAGCGCTAACTATAGAAGAGTTAATTAAGGTATCGAAAGAGATATGCAAACATGCTTCCTCTGTGTAAACTTATCTTTTTGACAATAAATTTGTAACTATCTAAGTAAGGAGAAAAGCCGCAATCTGCAAAATTTGTTTTAAATCCTTAGTCAGAAAACAGTCAAAAATTTGGGCTTCTTAATTTAACTTTTTACTCACTTTACCCTATCTCGGGTACTTTTTAACGGGACCAAAAATTCTTTGCACATTCGACACATTTGTACTTTGAACTATTCGACCGATTTCATTCTAATTTACTGTGTCGTTTATTGCTTACACACAGTTTAAAGTAAAGTAAAAACTTGCATACATTACAACTTAAAAAGTTTTCGATCCTAATTAAATAATGTAATGAAAAATAATAAATGATATGAAAAATAATAAAATTAGTGATGTAAGTTTGTTAAAAATTTGTAGTTTGTTACGTTATATATTGCTATATAACGATATGCAGTCTGTTATTATTATGTAAGCATCAAAAAATTTAACATTAAAAATAAGATTTCAAGGCTTTGTTCGATTGATTTTAACTCCGGAAAAGTCAACTTAAAACTCAGTAATTTAAAAAAGTAGTAAGGCATACTAAGATCTTATTTATTTTTAACAAAATTTTTTTAATTTCATCCTGAATTTCTTTTTATAAATTTAAAATTTATTTAAAAGCATTATAACGTAATAAACTGCATATTGGTATCACATGGGATAAACGCGCACTTTTCAATTAAATTTATTGCAATAAGAGAGATAGATTAATAATATAATAATCAATAACTTATTAACTGCTAAATTCTTATTCAATGAAAAATAATTGTTTCCCAACAAATGATATCCACTTATACGTATTTCATATAAAATGTTTAAATTTATTGAAAATTCAGGGTTATTGGAAAAAAAAGTTATTTTTTGTATTAATTTGAATTTTATAAATTCAGATTTTGTTTTCTAATAACAGTGATGAAAAATTTGGTTGATCGAATATAATCCTATTAGATTGATAATATTTGTATTGCTTATAATATTAAAATACATTAATAATTACGTATTTTTAACACGTATTTGAAGTAATTATGATACTGATCTTTGATTTAGTGTTTTTATTAAATATTTCTACAAAAATACATAAATAAAAAAATCCGACATTAAATAAAAAATCCGAAATTAAGTTTATTATGTTATCGGTAAATGTTGTTTTCCTGCTTCGTTTGTATGCATGTTGGAAATACAAGCATTGGTTCTTGTATTATGAAATCAGTAAATGTTGTTTTCCTGCTTCTGCTATATGCTTGTTGGAAAATCAAGCATTGGCTTTTATATTAGGAAATCTGTAATTGTTGTTTTCCTGCTTCAGTAGTATTCTTGTTGGAAAATTAAGTATTGGCGCTTACGTTATAAAATCAGTAAATGTTGTTTTCCTGCTTCGGTAATATTTTTGTTGCAAAATCAAGCATTGGCTTTTATACTATAAAGACAGTAAATGTTGCTTTCCTGCTTCAGTAATATGCTTGTTGAAAAATAAAGTATTGGCGCTTATATTATGAAATCAGTAATTGTTGTTTTCTTGCTTCAGCA